ACAGCTGTCTGATGCGTCTGGGTGTAGAGACTTTAGCGGACCGCGTCCGCCTCAAAGAAAATTGCAAACAGTTCGCTGATGGAGAAAGGCAAACAAATGTGGCTTCCACGAGCTTTGTCGGCTCTTCTCAAGCTCAGCAGTTGATCTAGGAAAGAAGGAGGCTTTTTCAGTTGTACAGCAGCCGCCGTGAAAAAGGTTCTGGAACCTCAAAGTCTGCTAAGAGGAAAAACCCATCCCGACGCACATGGACAGGTCAATTTGTGTGTTTAGCAGATCGACAAGCATGCAGAGTGCCGTCTTCCTCGGAAAACCAGATCTTGCAGCAGGCTGGCCTTGGCCTAAAAAAGATCAAATTTTGTGTTGATGAAAACGAGGAGGAAGTCGTGGAGAAGCTTACTAGTGATATGCCAGGCGACGATGGCCATCCAATCGGCTTCCCTCAGCTCAAAGAGGGCAAGGGCTTTGAAATTATGAGTTGTGTAACAAACTCTCGTGATTTGGCAGTCGTAAAATCGTCTTGGTCTGTAGAAAAGTAACCATTGCCACCGACGGTCAGTGATAGCTTTGAGACGCGCCATTTTGATGAAGGCAGACCCTGTGGTGAGCCTCCATGCACATCGCTTGTTCAGCGGTCGCGCATGTTCATGCAAAAAAGACCTCTGTTCCCCGTACGGACGATTTTCTAAGAACCAAAACTTCTTGGATGCATAGATTACCAAATTTTCTTACCCATGGTGCTCCGCTGTGCGCGCTACAAAGCTTGAGCTCGCAATTAGCGAGGGCTATTAAATAAATAAGCAATCTAGTTTGCCGTAAGGTTTATATATAGCCAGAGTAAGACGGAAGGCAGACTGTAGTTAAAAACCAGAAGTATACACAATGTTAAGATTTTGAGAATTGCACTCTAATATCAGAAATTCTAATATAATCGTCATCTTTTTTCCAGAATTTCAAAGAGTTTTCCCTTAAGTTCGCTTTTTAATTTTGCTGCTCCCGTAGCTCTCGTCGTCGTTGTTGCTTAAGCACCCTAATCCTTCTCTAGTGTGAAAACGGCCATCCTAGGATTTTCGAACATCTAAAAAATGATATAATTGCCCATTTTTAACGGATTTTTACCCTAAAAAGGTAACCTAGAATTTTCGGGAGTCTTTTTTCTGGCTGAAATTTTCGAAAAGGTAAGCCGTTTGATCCCTATAGTTTTCGGATCACTAGACTTTCAGCTAGGAAATCCAAACAGATAAAAAAATTTTAGGGGATAAAAATATGCCTATATCTACCGTTTAAATACTAAAATACGTTCACCAATGCTATGTTTAGGTGGTTTTGAGCTATATTCTCGTTGGGTGCCCCTGTCGATATTTCTACTTTGTCGAAGAGAGCTTGTTATGATACTTTTGTTATTGACAGAAAGTGTCGTAGCACTTGGTATGAAGTTCAGCACTGAGGAGAGTCTTCACTTTGTACTTCCTTCAGCTGAAAGAGTATCCAGTATGAATTGAGTACGTGATACACAAATAATTTGAACGGAAGTCCTGAGTATCTGGGTGCTAACTTGTTATTCTTGGGCATCCTGCAGTCTCCCAGAGGATGCAATTTTGAAATTAATTATTGGAAGTCGTTTTGTTTCTCCTATATAGGTTTTTGCCTAGTCTAGTTAATTTATTCTTTTGTTGTAAACTTTTTGCCGGTAATTTGTTCGTAAAGGGCTAATCGTTGGTTATTAGTGACAGTTGTTGGGTTCACATTAGACCACTAAGTCTGACTTAGTAATCTCTTAAGTCGACTTAGTGAAAATGACAGGTGTGAACCGCTAAGTCACAGAAGCGTGATTTCTGTCTTAGTGTCGGCAAACTCAAACGACCTAAGCAGTTCTTAAGTCTTTTTCAAACATGACTTAAGGCTGACTTAAGAAACCTGATAGCAAAAAAATTTCAAAATCGTGGGTTTTATCAGATAGAGATTCCCGTGTTAGGCGCCAAAAGCAAAGAAATCACGACACAGTTTCTTCTCATGAACAAAATTAACTGAAGATGCATTGCCGAGAGGACGAAACGTTAGAACGCAATTACGCTACCGACTTTTCACCTTATGCGACGTAAGTTGCGTGGCTTGATCACCTTTTTACTGGCCTACGTAAGTGTCATTTTCTTTTCTTATGATATTCCTCGCCGATTTCCCAACAGATCTGAAGCACGGGAACATAAGATTTTGTAAGGTTATTTGGCTGATCAACCTTTGTAAATTTAATAAACAGACAACAGTTGCAATTACAGCGATTTTACGGCTTCTCGGTCTCATTTTGATCTCAACTTCTTCGCTAAAATGGATCGTGACTACCTCACCACATTTATGATGTTAGTTACCTTATCTGTTATTTTTATCGTTAATGATGACAGCTTTGCACGGAAAGAATTTGTCTTCTAGATAATGTCTGAACGCTTAAGCGGACTTAGGGTGACTTGGCTTGACCTAGGCTAAGACGGACTTAGTGCCTAGTGTGAACCCAACAAGTAGTTGTAGTTGTTATTGTTATTTTAGAGGCGCTAGTTTCTTATCTCAAATTCTAGATTATAGACAGGAGAACATTCACATTTTCTTAGTTTTTTTCTTAGTTCCGATGAAAAGGTAAATCAAAGGCAAAATGTGAAGGACACCAACATGGAGCATCTTTCCACTTGTTAAACACTTTTTCCGTTTAAGCACATCATTTGTACGAGCCTGTTGGGTTTAATAATAGATTGGGTTTCTTCTGTCACTACCCAAGCTTTGAGAGCATGTACTATTTCTGAACGAAACTTGAAAGTGCAGTGAAGAGAAACCGAGGAAGCTTTATACAAGCTATGCGCTTATCAACTTTTTCAGGGTGAAAATAAAACCCTAAAATGCCACACTAGCTGTCTGCTTTATTTTCCCTAGGTTTTATACGGTCTGAGTTTTACTGCTCATTCGATAACGGTAAGTGATTATACCTGTGCTTTAAACTCACTTTTAATTAAGTGATGCTCTTTAAATTGATATCTCACTGTTTTAACGTACGCGTAGCCAATACGATTTACTGAAGGGACAGTCTATTCACACTATCTGCTATCTTTTTGAAAGGTTAAAACGTGACTTTCCATCAACTGAATTCCAAAAATAACGTCCAGTTTTGTAACTTAAGATTATATCTTGGCATCGAAACTGTTTCCTGTCGGGCCGGTTGCAACGGATTGCAGGGGTGGCCCTAGATTAAATCTTGGTTTTGAATTTGCTACGCAAGCAAAAATCACCAAAAAGTTATTATGTTTTAGTGCTTCCTGGTGCCGGATTTGTTTGATCTCTTCTTCAAAACTCTACACTAAAAGCATTTTGCCGGTGTAGGGTGAACTTGGAGACACGAACTGAGTAATGACTAAATAAGTACAGAATTTCCTAAAAACAACGACTTCTCTGGTAGGCATCTCTCCATGCGCGTTATTTATCAAACTTGCGGAAAATTGTAATTCAAAGCAGTCATCTTATTACTGACGTCAAAAATGAGCGAATCAAAGGGATCTGTATGGCGCTAATACCAGGACAAGAAGATAGGAGACGGACCATTAGAAAACTTAGGGGGGGAAGGGGGGGGGGGGCGGCGAAGTACAAAAAAAATATTCGCGGAAGGGAAAATTAAATGAAAAAAATTCATGCACGCCAATTAACCCTAAAAAAAATTCATGCTAACGCCTAAAAAAATTCATACAAGGAATTAATTAACAAAAAAAATTCCTGAGGCTCAAAAAGTCCCCACCCCCCCCGTAACTTTTCTAATGGTCCGTCCTTAACATAAAACTGAACATAAAACTGAAGGAGGGGAATTAAAAACTCGATTTTCGGCTGTTGATCTATGTGAACAGATTTTTTACTGACTTAATTGCTTGAAAGGGGCATCTGTTTTTATTTTCATTCATTAAGTGAATCAAATCACCTCTGGACGAGGCTGCCACGTTTAATTAGCTGAAATAAAAAAGGTTTTTTTTAGCTTGCTTTTAGTTTGAGATTACAGTCGTCTCTTGGGCTTAGCTCGTCGTCTTTGCTGAAACGTCTCTATCGACACGGAGGGACGAGAGAGGCTGTATTCGTAGCGAGTTTCAAGCAAGGTAATTGGTAATCTGCTCAGTTCTTGGACTCAACTGAGATAATCGACGAACACTTGTCAATGACATATAGAATACCGTTGCCCTAACATGAATGTCGAATCACTGACGACGAAAATACCAGAATGAACGACCAACTCTTAAACTTATAGATACCTTCATTTTGACTAAAAGAGCGCAAAGATATATCTTGTTGGTTTCGCACTGATTTCGTCTAAATATGGCGTCAGCGTTTTCAAATTTTAAAACGTAGTTATGACTTCCTATTATTATTCAATGTAAATATTTTAATTGACAATGTGTACCTTCATGTGGAAATGTTTGTCAGTTTCTTTTCAAAGGCGAAATTTAACTACTCGGACCGCACGTACACCTTGCTGAGTGTCTGTTAATTAAACAGCTGTCATTGACTTCAAATTAATTGCTACTAAAACAATTTGTTTTCCTTTCCAGTCAAGCGACAATTCTCGTCCTCGAACGTGTTTCCTTATCAGAAAATTGAGACGAACAACAGCTAAAACGGAAGGTGCGTTTCTTACTTTCATTGACATACTGTTGTCAAAATTTTGTTAATTGCAAATTTATTAAATAAATTTAAAAGTGTAGTTTAGGAGTTTATTTGGAAATGTATAATCTGAGTTGATCAGCTCTATTTGGGAACAACTGGTTAATCAAGATCCAAACAGTTATCTTGTTCATACAGTAAGAGGCTTAACAGATGTGGGTTTGTAATAACCAGAAAGGAAGCACAAACGCACGTTTCAGAAACATTCCTTGGAACAAATTTACATATATCAGTCACTTCCGGATATCGTGTGATATAAAAGTGTTTTCAAAAGCGTGACAGGTTAGAAACTATCACGTACTCGAAGCGAGGACACAGCGATGAACGCTCCGAACGAAACTTTTGGCGGAGGAGCAAACTCCTCCGATGGTGGACCTACAGAAGAAAATAGCAACATGTCTCCTCTTATGAAAAACGTTTTCTACTGCCTTTACGCGGCCGTCTTTTCCCTAGCTTTCGTGGGCAACACCTTAGCGCTAATAACGTGCTATAAGACTTACAAAGTCACGACATCGGTTCTCTTGTGCTTTATCGCCAGCCTTGCTAGTGCTGATCTCATGTTTACGCTGCTTTCGATATTTGACTTGATTGCCTTTATACACGATGGAGACTGGTTTGGTGGGAATCCAGTGTGCAAGATTCAAAGCTTTCTCATCGAGGCTAGCTATACAGTGTCCATTTTGACACTGGTGGCCATTAGTCGTGAGAGGTTAAAGGCTGTCTCCTCGCCCGTTCTAGCGCGGGCACAACGGACTACCCACCGATTTGTTTTACCAATAATAATTTGGGTACTCGGAATAGCTACTTGCACACCACTGCTGCAAGCTTACTACATAAAGAAAGAGGAGGATACGGGAAAGTCATTATGCGTCAATGTAAACATTGGAGACCTAGGAAGGCAGACCTATTATGCTGTCCAAGCGGGGTTCCTCTTTATTTTGCCTCTGACGTTTATGATCTGGGCGCACTCCCAAATATTTCGACTTTTGGCGAAGCACGTCAAGACGAGAAACTCTATTATGTCAGACAACAGAGAAGGACTTAAGCAGCGTAAAATTACCAAGATGTTAGCGGTGGTAACACTCGCGTTTTTTGTCTGCTACTGCCCCTTCATGGTAATACGAGCTCTGCGATACTTCTACGTTTACAATGGAGACATGATCTGGAGATTAAGTCAAGTGATGATTTTCATGCAGGCAGGTATGAATCCTATCATTTACTGCTTCTACAGCAAGCAGTTTCGATTCTCCTTCAAGGATTTGATCTGCTGTTGCTTCAGCAAAGACGACAAAAAGATAACAAAACCAAGGTCAGCTTCTGTGCGGTCGATCTCAAGTACGAAATCTTCACAGAACACCTTCGCTGTGAATGAGTTTTGCGTGAACAAACCTGAACTACAGGGACGCTATACCTTGCGTCATGTTTAATGCTCCAAGTAAAACCAGTTAATGAAGTAATTTATTTAGTTAGTACCCTTTGATCTTTTATTACTGACTGAAACAATTACTCAAAGAAGGAATTAACGCCGCAATATTAAAAAGAGTTTAGAAACCAGAGTATGAACACTTATGTCTTTGTACAATCGTGACTATATATACTTATTATTAAAAGCTCTGCAGTTTTCTGTTTTTGATCGTTTTCACTGTCTTGTTCGGCTGAGTTCTCGAACAGTGTTTGTTACGACGAAAAAAATACTGTTCATGGACTACCTGCGGGCCTTATCATGTTTTTCAAGAGAGGATTAACCCCTCTGCTGTTTTCTTTTTATCCTTAAAGCTTTTTAAAATCAAAGTGAACAATTCATGAATTGTCTAAACGCTCACCCTTTGCATTTGTCAGTTCGAACAGTGTACAGTTTGTTTGTGACGACTTCGTAATTCCCCAATATCAGACAAGGGAAAAATGTGGCTGATTATTTCCGTGAGCAATATATTGATGAGTCAATTACTTTTGTTTTGATGGATTTTCTGTGCTTATTGTTTTTTTAAATTCCTCAAGAAGGCAAGAGGTCAAAAGGAAATACAATGCCAAACCGCGAACAAATTTTAAAGTGACTCAAAAGAAAAGCCAGTTACTGAAAGGGGTATCGTGACCGGCGATCGTGTATGACGTCTTCTGCACGTCCTTGTATAACAGGAGATTGATGACCGCTCTTGTGCAAATATCAAGACGCAAAAAATGTCAAGAATACCAAAAATTTGTAGCTTATGACACTGACACACGCTTTTACCCTTATTTGTTTTTGACTGGATTTTATGACTGAATCAGTTTTGATTCCGGAGCTAAATTAAATCTAAGTTAGTGCAAATTGGTTGATCAACAAAAGAAAAATTGCAAATTGCAAATTGATCAACGGAAATCTGAAGATTAAAGGAGTCCCTACTTAACAGTTTAAAGATTTCTTCCGGTTTGATTGTTCTCAAACTTGGTTTTAACCGTCACAAGAGCAAGCGTAAGTCAGAGTATTCCGAATCCAACGTAAACCGTGGACGGCAGTTTATCAATGCAGGAAGAAATGAACTGTTCATTGAGATCGTAGTTTGGCGTCGCTCATGAAGCCTAGCTTAAACTTTCATAAACGGTCTTCGTATGTGACAAATTTAAAATTAAAGAGGACCTCTCAACGCTGCCATGAATTTCGTGGCTTCTCTTTGGTTCCCCTTCAAGAATGGAGTCCTCACACCACTAAGGTCTAGACGCCATTCAAAGACCAGAACTGAAATCAGGCATAATATGTAACGGAAATCAATTGGGAAGAATTTGGCTTACACCGATATTTCGAAAAAACTATTCTACTGTGTCAGAGCAGGAATTCTGGGCAGTCCTAAGGATCATTTACTCTTTCTTTCCTTATTAAATCTCTCTGTCAGGTATTTTTGGTACTTTTTGCTGCGTATAGTTGTGATGAATGACTCTCTTTTGGATGAGTAAAGGTAAAGAATATAATTGAAAGAAATTGGAAATTAAACGCTGAAATGTCATATGGCTGTTCTGTCACTTCAACAAAGAGTTTTATTGTCCAGTCATTAAAAATTAGAGCGCTGCAGCCATGCACGTCGATGTTGTTTGCGGAAGTAGTAAACACAGTCGTAAAAGAAGAAAACTTCGGTGCTTGTTTGATTTCGTGGAAAAGTTTGGAAAGTTTTGCCCGGAAAATACTTCGATTATTAACTCGAATGAACACGCAAGAAATAGTCACGATCGTATGATCGTGAGCTGTGACGTATTGCGGATATGATTTAAACTGTGATGAAACATAATCCGAAGTTTAGATTAAGGAAAAATCTTCAGATTCTTAACTACAGAATTACGGACAAATGAACTTTTCATAAGGGATCGACACATTGACACATTGCGCTTCTGGCTAAATTTGGTTTCAAGCCCAAGTTTTTGTGTAAGGTACGACGCTTGTCGTGGTTTTTTCCTCACTCGACCGCAGTGTCCCTGAAGTTAAGGCTGAGACGCAAAGATTAAAAATCTAGAGTACGTCACCAGCATTTCGGATTTTATTTTTTTAAACTCTTTTCACGGTTGGCGTCTGTTAAGTTCATGTTTTTCAAAATAATATGTAGTACTCTAAAGCAATTTGCACTATACCGTGCCGCACAGTTTACCCAGGCTCACTGTTTGCGTCACGTACGGGTTTCATACTGAATATCTAGAACATATGGGTCGAAGTTTACGTCTGGACATTTGCTAGAAACTGAAAGGAAATAAAAATCGATGAAATTTACCATGTGGCGAGTTGTTGTTGTCCTTAATATGCTCACGACGCTTCGAGAAAAACAGACTGCGTCATCTTTCCTACATAGTATGCACGTTATATACTTCTTTCCACACCAGGCGAAAAAAGCCAGATCTACTTCTCTTGATAGTCCGTGCTAATAAAACTAGTGGATTGCATGATTTTGAACACTTGGCTCGTGGTTTATGCAGCACAGGGAATATTTTTTAGATTTAAAAACGAACGTTCGCAAAATGTATTGAACAAACTTAAAACGTAAACTTAAAGTAAACTCCTCTTTGCAAAATATTCCCACGAAATTAATCACTAACAGGTCTAAGGCAATTAATGAAAATGTAAATGAGTTCAGTGTCATCAAACACGAATTTATGTTCGTTAATCACAGCAAAACGCAGCTTCGACTTCCACGTTTATCAGTTGTTTTTTTTTTTGCACCCACCTCAATTAAAGTAACGATAAGGGATCAAAACATTTGACATGCAGTTTGAAGAAATCAATATTTGCACAGAGATTTCATTAATTAATTTAGAATTGGAAAAATAGTGACAACAGGAGGACCGGTGTCACTTTCATGCAATAAAAACATGTCCACAGGCATGATAAATCCTTGTTGGCGGAAAACATAGGCTTATAAAAGCCTATAGTTAGGGGGTGTTTACATGAGAAAACTCGCATCGGCGCGAGTCTCATACCGGGATGACTTTTTGATTTTATATCCCGTTTACATGATAACTGGGTCATTTCATATCTCATTATTTGAAGGTACACTTCATGTAAATAAAGTATACGTGTGATTCAAAATCGCAAACACTACGCATGCGCTACCCGATCCAGTCCACCGACAGACCGATTTCAAACCGAAACGTGTGGTCGTTTCGCGTTTACACGATACTGTTGCGAGATCTCGTACCGGAGTGAAATTCCCGCCCCGGTACAACAACCGGGGTGAACTCACGCCGGGGTGACTCGCGAGGGCATGACATTTTGTAGTGGTATCATGTAAACAAATGTAGAGCCATGAGAGGGAACCGGAGTGAACTCGCCAGCTGCCCAGGCTACAGTCTTAGGTTATTGACTTGTTTGTTGAATCGAAAAATCATAGAATCCTTTTTGCTGTTAATAGTTAGGTCTCTTAAGGTCAGGATCGTTACAGAGTTGACAAAAGCACCAAACTTTGCACAGCGATAGCTTATTGCAGTACCATGAATATTAGAGGGGGTGCCCAATGCAAATATGCCACTGAAGCGTGCTAAACAGAATTGAATTATTGTAAATTTCACCTGCTGGGGTCCCTGTGGTGTTTTGATTGAAAATTGTTATTTAATACCTTAAATCACTCAGAATGCTCTTCTCATGTTGTAAACAACAATTTCACTCGAACATCTGGCATTCCCATCCATTATTAGCTCATTGATTGTATAATTAAGTTGATTATTACTGTGCCCTTAAAGCAAGTCCACAGTCCGCCCACATTTTCACAAGTCATTTCTAAGATGGCCTCGTCTTTGCTTCATAACTTGCAAGTACTCAGCTTCTGGGGTTCTCTTCTCCTTTTCTAATGTATTTCAATCAGAGGAGGCCTTATTGTCTGGCTTAAGCCTTATTTATCAAGTATTACTTGTCATTACATGTCACTTTAAGCTAAAGAAAGTGTATGGGATAGCGATTCACACACAGAATTTCAGAAAAAAAGAAATTGTTAAAGAGTCTGTTGCATCACATATTATCAGGGATTTATGACAGCTGTTCATGAAGAGAAAATAACGAAATGACCGAACCCAAAATGGTTCTTTCCAAAGGAGGTAATTAATTTTTCAGCTTAACAATTTTAACATAGGCCTGGATGCCTTCAGTCTCTCTTTATCTGTTGGACGCACGTGCATGTTTTGACAGAGAAGCAAGCATCGTGGCACAAGTCATATCATTTACAATTCCCGCCGTTTGTCTAAGCTTTACAAAGCAAAAACAAACAAAAAATAATCTGGTCTCATAAACGAAAAAAAGAAACAAGTTAGCCCAAGCTTCAAAAAACAGCACAGTTTATCATGAAGCCTCTACATTTGGTACTGAAGCACTCATGTCCAAAAATAATAACAGCTTATCAAGTCCTAAAAGTGAGACTCAAGTTGTACAAGATTGACTCAAATGATAAATGGTGAATGGTTTAACTGCTGAAACTGTAGAAAGGGGGCCGGGCCAACCCTTAGGGCCTGTTTACATGGAGGAGGGGGACCCCAGGCAAGCATGGTAACCCACTTAGGTGGGGTAACCCGCCTGTCCATATAATCTCTCATTTTAATTTGATCACGTTTACATGATAGGTGGGGTGACCCTTGAAGGTGGGTAGCCCGGTCTTCCACAATAGGTAACCCTCTCAGCTGAGGTCAAATTTTGCCATGTTGACGTTTCAAGGTGAGGTAACCCAGGCTAGTCGGGGTCGGATTCGTGATACATCAAATTCGCGCAAAATTCACTTTGGCGCCGGGTGGCTTCACATAATTATTAAAGGTAGAAAGCCACAACACTGAAGGTTGCAGCAAGAGCAGCAAGTGAGCGTAGACGTGGTTTGCCAGCATTTTTCTTGTTTATGTGCTTAGCGACCATTTAATAATCTTGAGTAAGTGCACCCCAGGATGGCGGGGTTGTAAGATTACACGTAAAGGAGGGTTATTTTTTTTACCCCACCTAAGCAGGTTACCTTACCTACCTGGGGTCCCCCACCTTTATGTTAACAGGCCCTAAGTCTCAGGAACCGTGAAACTGGTAATGAACGGTATACCTAACCCGGGACAAGCTGTAATACTACTTCTATCGTCAACAACGTCAGCATAGCAGCCAAAGGAGCCATTATATCGGTGTAACACCAATATTATGCACCTATCAATTTAATGCCGGCGGGGTGGGAGGCAGGGCATGGGGTGGGGATTTGATTGTCTTTGTTGTCCCTGGGGTGGGGCATTTGACTGATCTTGTTCTCCCGGGGAAAGGGATATTTGAATCTTTCTTCGCCCGACGTGGAGATATTTGACTGCCGAGTTGGACGAAAAAGACTGAGACCGAACATATGTTTCCCGCTTCCACGCTTCACACTTGCGCCATACGGTTTGAAAATATCAGGAAGTCATGGAGGCCAATGAGAACAAGCGAAGGCTGAGTGGATTTCACTGTTTTGTCTTCAAATTTTGTTTGTTTTAGCGTGTTTTTGATCAATTGAACCTCTTAATATACTGTGGTATCAAAGTAAACGGAAGTAAAGAGAAACCAAGTCGATTTTTGCAAGTACAATTGATTAGTGTATGGCTCATTCGCTACAATCACTGTAAACTTATAAAACTGACTTTCTTTGTACCCTTTACTAAGAACGGTAAATTTAGACTTACAAAATGTGGACTTTCTCCTAAAGGTTTATGTATTCTACGCAGTGTAACACGGGTTATGGTTAAAACGTATAATTGCAGCTGTAACAGGAACAGGTATCTTTGGTGATACAGCAACGTTTATAAAAGATTGCAGAGTTTTATTTGGAGATATTTTTATTGTGTCTTTCGTAGGTTCTACCTTGGGATTGACAGCAATGTCCAGCCTGGGGTGGGGAAATTTGGTTGCATTTGACTGGAATGATTTGCCCGTGGGCAGGGAATTTGATTGCAAATTTTTGAAAAAGTCAAATCCCCGCCCTATGCCCAGCCTCCCCCCCGCCGGCATTACATTGATAGGTGCATTACATTGCGGTTGTTTCATGCGTCTCGTTTTGTGATGACTTTCTTTGTGTTCGTTTTTGTCACCATCTCTAAATTTCAATCATGTTCAAAACACCGCTACTAACGAAATATTTCGTGAAGCTCTTTAGACTGATATTCAGCAATAAAAACAAGGTGTGACCAGGAGCTGATTTCTAGGCTCCTGGTGTGGCAACTAGGCATAAGTGAATGTAAGGTTTTGCGGTATGTAATCTGTCAGAAATCTGTTTGAGTGGTCAAAGTTGGGGCTGATGGGCTTCTTTATCATGACCACTCCATTATTATAATGGACCAGGCCATAATTATTGTTGAACCTTGCTTTTTTTGGTATTTTCTATAATTTTCCACAGCATTATTTCGTGAAAAGTTGGTAACTGAATTGCTCTTGAGGAAGATTTCGTAACCACGGGGTATTTGCCTAATTGCATGAAACAAATTACATTGATTTTCATAAATGATGCATCGTTGGTTGGCTAAAAGAGGCCATGTTCCTGTAACTTTCAGCTCCTCTGAAGTTAGTTTGTTTGTAAATTGTAACGCACTCGACGACCTTCCTTTTTTTGAAAGATCGTATAGACCTACCATTAACACTCTGGTGCGAGGGCTCTGAAGTGAGTGAGCTCCTTACAGGTGTCTAGGCATGCAGGGACCTCATACACTGCTTTGTAAATGCAAATGTGTAAAAACTAAAGAGTGTTAAAAATTCCTGGAGAGGCATGTTTTACAACCTCGTCCCCAGGGCTTAATAAAAAGGTAGAAAAAGGTTAAGCGACCCTATTTTACGTCAATAACTCGTGACAGTAGTAATAACTGATAAACTTGAGGTCGACGGTGCGCTCCTTTTGCCCCCCTTTCTCCATTAATGCTCCGTTTTAAGGGTATTTAAAGCTAGTCAAAGCTACACATAAAGGAGAGAAGTTGAAATAAGGACGTTTTGACACCGGGGATCGAACTCGGGACCTCGCGCACCGAAGGCTGCTCACTAACCAACTGTGCCACCCTTGCTCCTCCTTTTCCCCCTGAGGACGAGGTTAATATGTTTTAATCATTATCTCAAGGACAGGACAGCAAATTATAAACTAATCTTAGCTGCACAATTACAAAGTGGGCGCGTTGTCAGTTATGGTTCATGAGGTCGTTCACGTGGCATGTCAAAATCTAACGATTCTATCGTTTAGGATGTGATACATTTGGGTTTTATGTTATTGTATGACATCTTTGAAAGCTGGTTTTGTGATCTGTTTAAATTGATATGTAATGATATTATCACTGGCAAGTCTTAAAAGTGACACTGATAGCCGCACAGTCCGCACAGTGAACATGGCCACACTTACCGTGTGGAGACTGGGTACTAATCAGTATTATGTACATGTAAAAACTATTTTGAATAGTGTAACAACAACTAAACATTACCAGATAAAAAACTTAAAAATTTGAAATAAATATTTTTTAGCCAAATAAAACAAGAAGAGTACTCACCACAGGGGACCCAATCTGTTATTATAGGTGAAAGTTAACCCCCCCCTTTTATCTGTACTTAGGACCATTTGTAACGGGCACCCCCCTCCAGTATTGATCGGCAGGTGCTAAGGAAGCTCTATGCCAAATTTGACACTTTTGTCACGTCTGTAACGATCCGGTCTATATTTTGCACTAAGATACCTGACTGTAATAATCGCGCTCTATTGCGTGTTTAGTTTTAATGCAGTGTCTTTTAGTTCCCTTTCTTCTTCTATCGGAATATCTTTAAACCGCGGCAGCCATTTAGGCACTGAGATCTGGCACTAGAAGATTTTTAATTTGAAATGTAAAGAAATATAACGTTCACTCGAAGCAACGCTGAAAATTCGCGCCAAAAATTAAAGAGAAAGACAATATCGGTCTCTATTTCCCACTGACTAAGCTTAAAAGTTCACATGAGGTAATTTCCAGTGCCTCATGTTGTGCAGGCACCAGATTTCTATTCTTTCTATTCTGGGAGAAATATAACGAACAAGTAATTCCGCAGAAAAAGCACTTCATTTGAGTGTCAATGTATAAGCACGAAAGTACTAATTGGGGACACTATTTTTAACGTCTCCTAGTGGAGAGGGCACCACCATTTTACGTGGTCCTCGGAGCCATGCGAAGGTCTACCCGTTTGCAGGGCAAAGGTTTTCAGTTACTTTAAGACCCTGAGTATTGGTCCAACCCCGGGAATCGAACCCGCGATCTCCCGCTCGGCAGTTAAGCGCTCTACCGACTGAGCTATATAGCAACTACAACAAGCCAGAACTTACTACGGAGTTCTTCAATGTTCTAAATTCAATAGATTCTAGTGACGACTCTGAGCTTGTTAGGTCTTTATCGTCAGTATAAGCCGCATGCGTATTAAAGCCTGATGCGGCCTTGTCATGGAACACTTCCCGGCTTTCTTCGTCTTTCGTGCTCCCCGCATCCTTCTTCTCGCCTGTTGGTTAATATACAACAATTCGGTAAGTCTATAGTTTAGGCACTATAGTAGACCGCAATACGTGCGTCTTATCCATCATGATTAGACTTTGATAGATTGAGCTCGAAAAATTGTGGCATTATATGCTGCTAGCAGTGCTCGTATATTCCTAAAATCATGCCATGTTTTTGTAAATTATACCCATTTTAGCAAAATACGCAAAATTTATGCTTTTACTTTTTACTTCAAATTTGGTAAAAATACCTCAATACCGCAATGCAACAAACAAGTAAATGGCAAAAACATTTACCCTATTTATATGCAGGAACCTTAAGAGTGCATTATTATATTTATTCTCTGAAAACTATAAATTTTAATTTCTTCCTTATTTCATGTCGTGTTTTAATGTCTTCCTCGTACCTTGATTTTCCTGCACACTTTGCCTGTCTTCCTTTCGTATTAACAAGGCGCGTCCTGTTCGTAGTTTGTCCGGGGTTACCTGGGCTGATGTAAGGGATGTCTCGTTGTGAGTGCTGGTCATCACTGGTGAAGGTTGAGGCGAGGGACAAATTTCCGATTTAAAGAGTTGAAGGGTAAAAAGCCTGAGACCAGTTGCGCTACTGACTCGACTGCTGGTGCCTATGAAATATCACAACCAGGAATGATGCGAGTGAATAAGTGTAATGATGATGTTTAAACATGAGAGACTGTAAGCCATTCTGAGCCATTGCAAGCTGTTTTTTCTTAATGATGAATAGGTTAGCTACATAGACAAAAGACTGACAATGGCTGTGCAACTTAACCCTGCCTAAAAAGTCTTCCTGATTTACAAGTAATCAAGTTTTACTTGCAGTGATCATGAAAAAAGAAACCGCCCCTAGAAGGCACCATGTTTCAGTACGACAAGGCTCAGAAGGCTACATCGCGCAGCAAAATCTCGGCAGGCAGCAAAATAACTGTTACCATATGTAGAGTCTGCTGTAGCACTGAGTTTCCTGTTCGTAGGAGCCGTCATAGCTTCTGTTACGAACCATGCTCGCTTCCTTTTACGCTCAGATATAGCATCTCTAATCTAAAATCCAAATTAAGACAATTAGGGGAATTCACAGGATAGAAAAGACAGTGCGCTTCGCTTATATTCTACACGTAGGTTATTTTCAAAACACACAGCCCTCTTTTCGCTTCTCTTACTTGCGGCCTCCGAATAATGGCTCCTTTTCGTTCAAATTAGTCCCTATGCATGTAACCGCGATCAATAAGGATTGCCTTACAACGAAGCCGATCATAGATTACTAAAAATGTTCTATAAAACAAATATGATGCCACGACAGGTTCGAAATTTTAGAAAGGACGAAAAACATTATATTAAACACGAGCTGGAGTGTTTCATCCTTTATCCAAACACCAAGAAAAGCGAATTGAAAAGACGAAGCACATCGGGGTTTTTTAAACCAATCTCGAGATCAGCCTAAATATCAGGTGAAGCTACCTTCTTATATTAGAGATCCTTGTTTTTTCCTATGGTTTATTTGGGAGTTTTCGCGTAAGTCTTGACGAGAACATGACAAGTACCTGCTTGTTTAAGATGCAATGGAAAACAAATATAAGAAGTCCTTGCAATGAGTTAAAGATCGTAAATAAGTAATTGAAGATGATTTTGTCTGACGACATTGTCAAAACACCAAATGACCAGGAAATTCCTAGGAGAGGTAAAAGCACAAAAGATGCTTTGAGCCCGCGCTGGAATCTTCTTGCCAGGGGTTCGTTTCTCAGTCGATGGGTTGATAGCATACTGTGGATAACTAGTGCAAAGACCACCATGTTTCCCTAGAATAAGACAAATTATTAGATTGCTACTGTCAACAAAAAATACTGCCTTAGGGACAAGTCGGAAATGAAAATGCATTATTTCTTAATCAGGAATAGAAACATGACATTACTTTTTTTAGCCACTGTTCTGTTAAGCGTTCTTTTGCAATAGCTCCCGGCCATTTGAGGTCAGGTAGAATAACGTAACCTATAAGGCCAGGCCGCTAAGCATGGCTCCCTATGGCTCTGAGTTTATGTGAGAAGTTTTGAAGGAGATTTTTGTTACAATTAGCCTTTATTTGTAATTGAAAAAAAAATGACCTTTCCGGACTTGACCTCGCACTTCGAGTTCGACTTTTGTTCTTTGTGATTATTTTCGTGTTGCTTGAGAGGACTGTCGAAATAAAGCTTTTCAATATTCCGGCTGTTTATAGAGGATTTCGGGAGGAATATTAGAACATCCATGTTCTGTATCCTATATCCATTTGTCAAAAATTCTTAAAATTGTTTTAACTTACGCTGACAATGAGAAGTGCCGGCGCCACAAATGCCCAAAGCACGTGATTGTGTGGACTCAGCCAGCACGTGTTTATATCAGCGTACCCTCGACCTTGTGTAGCTGCCAAGGAAGCTGACACGACTAGAGCTGGAAAACCTGGAAAAATGATTAATAATGGACTTGGAAACTGAGAACAGGTTTTGAGTTTTCTTCAAACTTTAACCATAAGTATAAGCTAATATTGAATCAAGTTTTTCTTTTTGCTTTTTAGCGCATAGAACGGTTTTAATATTATTGAACAATTCACTTGAGTTTAAGACTTTTTGAAATCAAAATATTGATTAAAAAAGAAAGTTTTTGTTGGATCTGTACTGAAACATTAACTAAACAATAAAGCTTACCCCAGCCCAGACTGTAGAAAAATTTGATGTTTATAAAGTATGTGACTCCAATAACTTTGACTAGGGAGAAATACAGCTGTATGCCCTCAGATAACATCCAACAGAAAATGGACAGAATAAAGAAGTGAAGGAATACTGCTAGCACCGTACAACTGGTCTGTAAGAAAAAATTCAGTAGTTTGGGCGTTAAAGCAAACCGGATTCTTGGTCCCTTAGAGTGAAAAAAAAAAGAAAACAAACAAACAAACAAGCAAACTAACTAACTGCAACATGATTTAACATTAAAAGAAGAAAAATCTGGCTTAATTTGCTTACTGTGTGAAAAAAATCTGTTAGGTTACTGGCCTGTGTAACTGTACAGACTCTATGTACAACGTACAAGCGTTATCTTAAACTTCGTGGCAAATGTTTCTAAAGAGAAGGGTAGAGACGGAACTGAGCAACAACGTACGAGTACGAGAGGGAAGAGGGACACGAGAAAGGAATTGGAAGCAAAGTTTCCCTGCCCTCGTTCAGCCTTCCTTGTGTACCCTTAGCATTCGCACCCTCTCGATTTTCCCTTCCCCGTCTGGGCTGGCTAGAGGGTCCGCAATAAGTTTTTCTGGTTGCGGAATTTGCCATTTGAAGGCCGATATTCGGAAATGAAAGTGTACATGGGATGCGGGATCCCGAAAGTAACCATCGGGATTCTCGCGGGATTGAAGAACCCTATCGGAGACCCTCAGGTTAGGCTTTCAAGAGTTTGCAATTGGTAAAAGTCCTGCCAGAAATGATCCCGGCTTTTAGTCTAGAAGCAAGTTTATTTCCAACCTTTTCAAAAGACAAGGCAATGCCAATCAGTGATTACTAGCTTTGCAAAACCAACCTGGTTTTCTATTTCGGCAGTCTCCATGGTAATGATGAGCACGTCTGTTACCGCTATGGCAACGCAGAGATTGACAAGAACAACGGTTCTTGGGGAGCGCAACTTCTTCCAGAAAAGGAACGTGACAAACAAGGTGACCATTATTCCTACCAAAGACAAAAAACAGCCAACTACAGAGATCCAGGAGAGAGCGGTTCGGTGGCTGGCATCTGTTATCTAGAATTGAATAGTAATCACCAAAGATCAAAGAAGAAGGGAAAGTGATGAAAGGACAGAATAAGATGTTGATGTATGGATTACCGTTTGAACGCATATATCTGGCCTGAGTGGGGGTAACTTTAACTGAAGGTTAATTTAGGAAAGGAACATAAACACGTATACATTTGACGAAATATCTCTGAGCCTTTTCTAAGACTAACGCTGTTATATGTTAATCAAGGATGACAGGCTATAAGCAGCCTTTAAGTCCTAAAAAAAACATTTTGGGGTTAAAATTTTAGCTCTGTGAGTTTGTACTAATCGGCCTTTTATGAACTGGGCAATGTACGGGGCAAAGAGTTCTCAAATTTATTGAGACTAAATGCTTTTGTTTACAATGACTTCAGATTTGATGGTTTACTCGAATCCATTTCATTAGTTGCCAACTTGATTTCCCTGCAGTATCACCGAGACTAATTGACTTTCTTTTTAAGAAAGCTGCGGCATCCTGACTAACTTGGGACTTACCTTGTTACCGCCGCTGTCCATCAGCACTGCGAATAACGTCATGTGATTGCAGGCGCAAGTTGTAGTTGTTCTGCTTGTTTGCGAGGTCACCAATTCGCACCCACGTGACGACCAAACGTTCTTTTGTGCTTTTATGTTTGATTCGCTAATATTAATGAATACGCATATTTTCTCCCCTTCAGTATAAGTAACCTGGAAGAGAACAAAATTATCACGAATATCTATTAATTGCAGTTTCTAATAATTTTTAAGCAGACAGTTGCAATGGAAAATTCAAGGATGAGGAACATTTTGAACTCTTCTTGGGGGAAACGCTAGTCCATTTTTGCCTTGGTATTCTAAACACTTTGTCTAGCTTATGTTTTGCACATTTTCCAAAAAGTGTATGCATGTATATCGAGCTCTAACCACCCTAAGCACGACTTTCTTTTATGTAATGTTTCATTGGGGATCACCAAATATATCTCAAATCAAAATTAACAGAAAATTGTGAACGCTTCAAAACATAGAAGGAACACAGAGACCAGATTCTCAAACTATATAGGCCAGCAAAAATAGAGTATTCTCAGTTTATCTGATCCTCACTACTATATCAAAAGCTTCATCATCTTTGACTTTTTCCCCTAGAAACAAAGTTAATATTCCAGTACCTTGCGTTTCTCTAGAACCAATTTAAATGGTGGTGCGATAACCTCAGGTGGGCGGGGCCTCATTGTGATTGATGCCACTCTTGAGTCAAATGACCAGTTAGAGTCATTTATCAAAGAAGTACCAGACGTAATGGTAACACATGTATCTGAGCTTTTCAGAACCTGATCCAGAGTATTAAAGTACACACCCACTACTGTGACCGAGTAATTTGTTTGGCCGAAGAGAGTCGGCGGAAGATCAATGGAACTTTGTCCATGGGTCATCTTCAGGCCTTTTGTAGACGCCTACAGGATATAAACCAGTCATGAAAACAAGTACTAAACATAAGAACGAAATCATACGAGTAACCTATATAAGTTAAATCAAGGAGATAGTGCTGGCATAGATTATATTGACAAATATTGAAAGGAACGATATGTTACATGCTTTAAAAAACTCAGTGGTTGAACTAATACAATATCAAAACTTTATTTAAACGACGCTTGCTGAAACAGGAAATTCAAACTTGTCAGTGTTTCATTGTCTTTTTTATGAGGTTTTTAAATTGTATTAGATCTACTGTGCATTTTCAACTCACAGAACTGTTTGCAGGAACCTTGACTGCCAACAAAGCAATGTTTTCAGTATTTATGTGAATTTCTGTTATCTTGCTCGTAGAATGGTGTCCGTATTCATCAAGTGCCGATACCATCTGGTACGCTAAGTCACCTTCAACCTACGACGTAATGAGAAAAAAGTAGAAACCACAAAAGCTTACTACTGAAATCATGTGTCCATGAAATTTTGCTACTGTGTTTTCTAAACGTCCCCTTTAAAGACGGTTATAACTGTGCCTTTTTCAAGTGCAGCCTTGAGTATGTATAATGTGTGTTTTTTTAGTTTTTTAGACATTGTCGAGCGCTTATGAAAATATAAAAGCGGGAAATTTATTGACATAAAAAGGGAAAACGTCTGAAATTTTAATGGTTACAATTTTTAATCCGTGATATGATTGACATCTCACAACACAAAGGCAATTAGCGACGATCATCACTATTTGCTACGAATTTTTGGATTATTTTTCCCAAGAACAGCGCAAGTAGAATAAGGGAACTTCTCTCTCTTAATTGTTCTCATAAAACATGAGTATAACTGCTTTCATTCTTCGTTTCAAACAATATATCAGTCTTGTTGTTAAAGGGGCTCTGTACTGTCATGGTTAGTTCCCTATTGTTTAGTCAAAGCTGAGTTGTGAGTAAGTATTCTCACTCATCTTTTTCATAACTGAAACTTTAAAAGAGAGATAAAAGATAATTATATCAAAGGGAAAAAAAGGCATGACTGGTTTTTGGTCACAGGAGTTTCAGCATAAAGTTGTTCTTCTTGTATTGCGAACTGTATTTGCCGTGAATTTCTGATTACTCAGTTTCTTGCAATAAGGCTTTGGGTAAGAATATCCTTGCATGCAGATAGAAGATAGTCTGTCGGCACGCATCCCCTATTTGTGCGTCAATTTTCATAAAATGTGTTAGCGTTGCATTTTAAGGTTAAATTTGACCAGCATTTTGTACAGTCTCGATTGACTTGAAACTTGCAGTTATAAAACTAGACAGCTCTGAGACTTATTTGCTGAAGTTGGAGAAAAATCTGTCGTGGGATTTCGAAGTTATTGAATGACATTCTTTGTAAAAATGCGGTTTTAAAAAGATGCCGATATCTCGCGCGTTTTATAACCTACAAGAAAATGTAAAATAACATTTTCTTAAAGTCACACCCCCATTCTTTACTAAGGATGCCAAAAATATTAGAAATCGGTTAAATCGTTCGTGCCGAAAAACGCGCTCCAAAAACATAACCAAAGCGATTATAAATAGCTTCGGACATCCTTAAATCAAAATATGTTTTTAGGGTTTTAAAATATACCAAAAAATCGTGACATAGCTCCTAAAAGTCAATGAAAATGAATTGTGTTTACCTCAAGCGAATTTTTCCAAGCGGGTAAATTGCTTATTCTCAGCAGATTGCTAGAAGCCTTCACCAGGTTGTTGATATCTTTTTGATTGCTGAGGGCTTTGTCTTTGTTTACAGCGTTGTATTTTATCAGCCTCGTCAAAGCATCTACAGAAGTCTTCATATCTCTTTGGTACATCTGACTTGATTTATTTCCTTTAGGAACACTGTAGGTTGCCGTTATGTTTTCTAAGTCCTGGAGTATGGAACTCAATGTCGTGTTCACTGCGTATCCATCTGTAAATGCTACAACCTTTGGAGAAGACAAGGAAAAAAAATCGTAAGCAACAAGCATTATTACACCCACGGATTGGCAAGCATGATTTCATTTTAAGTAGTGAAAATTACATGGATTTTTATGAGCATCTCGTTAGGGACTCCTCCCGCTATGAAATAAACTTATCCCTCTTGCTGACAATCTAGTCTGTCCACAGACGTTTCTCTTTCCAACGATTTTTATCTCATAAGCGCGCTCAACAATCTCTAAAAAGAAAACAAGAGGTCCATGAACAGGCTACGTGCTTGACTATAAAGCTCAATTTATGAAACCTTGTATAAAAAAAGTAAGAGATGTTGAATCCGATTAGGGCCGACACCGTCACCTTTGAGAACAGCTTTTACTGTAGAGCCCCAAGAATCTGATGGAATACCTTACCAGCCCACCTCTGGAACACTGACTGTTCAGTAGCCTACTTTAAGAAAGATCTTTTTAGTAACTACTTGTATCTCACTAAGTCTGTTTGTGATGTCGATGACACTAGTCGGCTACTGAACAGCTTGCTCGATCGTATGTGTTGTTCATTTTTTATCGATGTCCTCCCCAATTCTGGTTTTGCATTTCCGCTTTTTTTGTCGTTTCTAAAGTATTGTCATTCTTGTTAGTTGTATTACTAATTTTCTTTTCTCTTTTTTCTGGACCTCGTAGTGGAGCTTGCTCTATGAGTGATTCAGGCCTTTTGGCGAAGTTTATAAATAAATAAATAAATAAATAAATAAATAAATAGTTTACGTTTCTACTCACGTCAGCATATATTTTCCTGATTTCAAGGTTCATGCAATCTGAGAAGTCGACTTGGCCCCATACGGCTTTTTTAGAGTCGGTGATGACACAAGATCTTACCGAAAGACCTGTATTGGAAAGAAAACCAAGGAAACAAAAAACTTTTAGGAAAGATAACAAACTAAAGGAAGATTTTTGTTGTAAGTTGGTCCTCTATATAAATTATACCTTTCAAAAGAATTTTAAGCTTTTCTTATAAAAATCTAGCATAAATAAAAATAAGGTAAATAAAGATCAAGGCATCTCATTACATTACAGTTCATCACAGTTCATTACATCTCATTACAGTTTCTTGTATTGTACTGTTACCTTACCAGTAGCATTAGGACATCTTTGAATGTCACTCATTCCAGGGGCCGTCATTGACCAAGTGATTCCAGAAAATGATTCACTAGGACAAAATACTGCTCCTTGGGTAAGACAAAAAAAACAAACAAACAAACAAATAATCAAAAACAACAACAAACACAAAGCCAAATACACAAAGCATCAAACCACGAGAAACCATGGAGGGCATCTCTTATTTTACTTACTGATTCTATTTCGAAACTGAAAAAAAAAAAAAACTCCGATCGAACAAACTTTAACTCCAGTACAAATTTCGTTTTAATTAGTAATACCTTGTGCAGTCAACCAATCTGTGCTACTCTTAATAAAACCGAGGCTCCGTATTCACTTGTGTTTAGAAGAGAATACGCAAGTAAGCACCAAAGTCGAATCACGTTCATCTTCACAAAATATTAAGGTTAAAAATAGCAAGGCGTTTTGTGAGTTTATAGTTAACGTTTCAGCAAAGTTGAAAAATATCATCTAGCTTGTTTGGTTGCATTTCGGGTGGTTTCCTTGAAAGTACCCTTTCATCTCCCCAATGAAAACCAGAAACGTAATAAGAAAGCCCCTCCATCGCCTCTTGGCTTTAAATCGATGGTCTGCCAAGTAAAATGAAACTTCATTATTTTGCAACATTCTCACATTCTCTCTGTTATTTGTCTTGTAATATTCTATAAACTGATGAAAGAAGGGAATTTTATGTATTGAATTTCTATTTTGGTCACCTTAATCCTGAAACTGCGAAACTTTCTTTTTATTTTACCTTTACATAGTATAACAAGTTTTGCTGAAGGACTGGAACTAGTTCCATCGGAGTTTCTGACATCGCATCTGTAGTACAACACGTGACTCCGTTCATCCTCTGGCATGTTTCCTTGAACTGTAAGCGTTAGTGAATCATTGTTGCCACTGATGAGTTTTTCTTGACTGTTTTTCTTCCTTTCGTACCAGGAGACCTTAAGACTTGAGATGTTACCACGTAACAAATAACAATGAAATGTGTAACTTTCTCCTAAGGAGAAAGCAGATGATAATTTATTCCTAAACTTTCAGCAATTCAGTGCAACTGTTACTTCCATTTACTGCGCGCAAACTGTCAAGTTGCTAATCATCAACCTTCACGGCTACTGTAACGTAAAAATTAATAAATCGGGCGTCAGTTATTTGGGTGAACAAAAAAGTTGCTGTTGACGCCTCCGTCCTTGGATCTATCCTGATTTTAGTGTAGCTTTACGGATAGTCTTGTATCTATTTTTTCTTTACATCTAATTCATCAACAAGGTACTGGCTGCCAAGTTGTGGTCGTTTAAGCTGCAAAAAAAACCGCCCTCTCCCCGCTCCCTTTGACTTGCCCCATCTCCTCCTCTCTGCGGGAAGTTTCAACATGACGCTTTCGCGAGCAAATTGCACACTCAAAGAAAACGCCTGCACTGCAGGCTAGAATCTGATTATTTCATCCACGTCCGTTGTCGTTGATACATTAACCTACCTTGAAACGATGTCTTTATAAGAGGTCTGATTCTTACTTCAGGTGGCTCAGAAACATTCACGAATACCGTTTCATGTCGACTTGACTTAGATATACTGAAATGAAAGGAAAGTTATCACTTTAAAAAATTTTCAAAAGACATCGAAAATTATTAGCTTTTTATTCGTTATTCCGTAAAGGAAGGTCAAGGTTGTTAAGGAAATCAGGAATTCAAAGTAGTAGTAGGAGCCCCATACCAGCGCACCCGGGGCTTGACACTGTTTTCAAACATCTAAGAACCTAACAGTGATTCTTGGATGAAATGCTGGTCCATCATTGAAGGGGCTGTTTCACGGCTGGCCAGTTCATTTTGTTCATAATTTTAAGTAGGCATCATTTCAAAGTGATAACTTCACCCCCTTATGAATGACAAGATCACAGCGTGGTGTTAAACAAATATGTCTCCCATTCATTATTTCACACGTTACAAACAATAAAAACGAACTATGGTACAACGTTTAGGCCAAGTCGTTTTCAAAAACCACAATAGCAATCCGTTTCAATCTTCTCCAAGTTTGCCAAACTTTACATACATTAAGCTAGCTGGCGCGGATGGACCGTCCATCCATCCATCCATGTTTTCCAGGCTGTGTTATTCATACTTTCTTTTAAGGTTCTGAACGGTTATTCTTGTTTGACTCAGTTTGATGGCAGTGTCCACTGATTGAATTTTGATACATTTCTTGACATTGCTCCCTTAAGTCATTTCGAATCAGTTCGGTGTCGATTTTAGCCACAAAAAACACATATGAATGTACTGCTTAGTGGAGAAGAATTAGCCTAGTTGCACAGTTCTCACACTTGTATCAGTAAAAGAGCCAGAGTCAGTAAGTACGACAAATTATAATTGAAGCACCCCAAATTTGATTCAATTGAAGCTGCCTTGATGTATAGATAGAGCATATAAGGCAGGGTACACGTGCAATTTCTTTAGCTTGGACAGATGATGTAATTTTTGTCGTGCAATCAACGTGTCCCGAAGTGCGCAACGACCATGCTTAACACAAATGCACTGAGGCAAAAAACAACGGATAGCGAGGTTCTATTTTTATGTTTCGTCGGACATCTAAGAAAAATGTTGCTGGTTACCACACGAGCGACAGTGCTTCGATTTGCTCGTCTCGTTGTTTTCAGAATATTCTCACTTTACAAGTCACTCGGGTGGCTATAATTGATTGAAATTTCATCGAAAGGTGCAAATGCAACATTCTGTATCACTTGCGCATTAACAAGCTTAAACTAAACAATGTTCAACAGTCCTACCGTGACAACGAAGCAACAAGTTCATGTTAATGCAAGAATGGTGATGATGATGATGATGATGATAATAATTATATGATGCTGACGATGATACAAATTTATCTCCTAACCTGACATTGCAAGTGTAACTTCCAGAGTCTGCCTTTCCCATCATTCTTATTGTTAACACTGAGCATGTACTGTTATGCTGTTCGATTTTCACCCAGTAGGAAGACTTCAAGGTCACGTGGTTCCGTTTCCATGAAAATGTCAAAGCAGAAGGTCCGATCGCCGAGCAGTAGGCAGCCATCTTAGTACCAGCTTGTTCCGAAAAATGTGTTGTTATAGTAACATTGGTAAGGTCTATTGGACGACAAAATAGACGTTTCATTTGCATGAATTTTAGTTGATGTGATTACTTCGAGACATATATAACTGTCCACTCAGTTCACCAAAATTTAACTAGCACCCTTCACAGGCAAACCCTCCAAATTTTGTAGAAAATGACAAATATTATCTGATTAACTCGTGTGGCAAGCCATGAGGCTCGTATTTGTTCTCCTTCTACACTCCACGTGTTATCTAAGAGTCTCATAGCTAACAAAGCAGGCAGCGAGCGTTTTTGTGATAATGATTTAGTATTCACCGTATGACGAGCGTAGCACAATAAACCCGTTGTGGTCTTCAAAATTTTTGCCGATGATTTTCTATCCCAGGTATATTCCTTCCTGGACGACTCCCGCTGTTAGCCTGTGTTTCGATTTAAAAGAGTCTCACAATGCCAAAACTTTTAAAAAAATGTAACTAACAATAAAAGTTTAGTTTAACTTTACCTGGTTCTTGGATTACTGTAAAGGAGTCAAGGTCTATAAGCAGAGATCCATTCTGCCTGTTGTTTCCAGTTATAAACGTTCGTAGTCTCACTTGAAGCTGTAAGTTTTCGAAGTAAGGAATTCTGAGCTGGAAGCGTGCAACAAGGTTTTGCGGTCTAAAACGAGGTTTCACAGTCAGTTGTCATCTTAAGAACAGTGCTAACAGTCAGCGTTACTGATTTCAGAGTTGATTTACAAATGATAACGAAAAAGGGGAAAAAAAAAAACAAACTGACGGACGGTGTTATTAGGTAAAAGATGTAATCATACGTATATATACTTATTCTACAACAATATCCAAAATTATCTTTTTAAAAATCAAACATAAATCGGTCAAAATAAAACTCACAGTCTGGTACATAATTCGCTTAAAACTTGATAGCGATTAACTGTTCCTCTCGTTGGTACTGAGAGAGTTCCAAATGTTTACCGAGAGAAAATGAACGAGGCAATTTGACTTCTTAACAGCATGCAGAATCTTTTCAATATCGTAGTACTATCTTTCCAACCAATGAAATTTGACATTTCTCTTTATATTTCATTTCAGGTAAATTCAAGCCACATTTCAACGCAGATCTTCTGCTTTCGTCATTAATAAGAAAAAATATTGTATTCCATAGCTCTTATACTTGGGAGTTCTAAGCTGTTAAAAGTTAATTTTACTAAATACTGATACTCTTTTAAATTAATGCTGATAATTTTTCCATTTGATTACTACTTATAATAAATATGATAACCATTGTACAAAAAAGAGAAAACAAACAACAAAAAACAAAAAAAGAAGAGCCCAGTGTACTTGCCAGCTTAATATAACTCTTTACTTTATAACTCAATCAAGAAAGCAGTTGATAAATTTTGTTTACATTTAAATAATGAGATAGTACTTGCCAGCAGCCAGTACAGTTCTTTTAAAACAGAGTGATCTGGATGATGTTATCATATTTCCCCGATCACTTGCCCTGACAACTAAAAAGTAGTGTACACAGATTTGCTATCTGTATATAGATGAATTGTCAACTCATGCTTGCGTAGAGATTCCCCCAAGTGGGGCATTCATCAAATACAGTAGCGGGGCCAGGATAGATCCCCGGGAAACTTTACAATCTAAGGGCGTGACCCAGATGCACCATCATCGATTATAGCCTGGGTACGGTTTTCTAGGTAGGCATTAAACCAGTCTAGAAATTTACCCTGCAAGCCACAGCGACGCAAGATACCATGATCAACTGTATTCAACCATAAGAGAATCACCCAATTGTTTTAATGGTTACCAGAAGACGGCAATATATCGTTCTCAACCGCTGGCGATGTCTAAGTTTACCACAAATATAAAGAGGTTATCTTATCGGTTGTGAGGCTCAAAGTTCTTTGTTGTCCTTTTTCGTATTACATTTCAACCGAATAATTATTTGTATTATAAGTGTTAAACATATGAAATAAGATAAAAAAAAATCGATAACTTAACGTAAAACAATATAAAGCAGACTTACCCCTGAAATGAAACTAAAGCTACCTCCTTGGGTTCAGGAAGGTGGGAAATAGCTCTCAAAAACTGAAACAATAATAAGTATAAAACATTTACATATCGAGTGAGGAGTACTAAAAACGTTTTAAGAGTACTTTATGTCACTCAACAAGCACAAAAAGGGTTTAAGCCGGAACCAAGAACGAGAAGTCCAAAGACTACTGCAAAGCTGATTTAAAACAACGTGTCTTGTTTTTTACACTGACAATATTTCGGCTGGCCATACCATCCTTCTCCAGGTTTACGGATGTTACTGAACTTATGTGGGAATCACAATATTAAGCCGGAGTTTACTTCTGAAGGTTTTAGGTTGAAGTGGATTGTCTGTTTGTCTGCTTGTCTGCTGGTTTGTTTTTTTTTTTGGCTATCAAGTAGTTATTAAGGCTTTAGTATATACACACTCAGTGATCTTGGTAATTCAAGCAATCTGATTGGTTAGCTATCTCGGACTATGACGTTATATTCACCGCGCTAGGCGGTGAATATAAAGCCGAGCAAAATCGCTGTCGTGAACTGGGTGTTTTGCCAAAGTTTCAAAGTAAAACCTGTTTGAAAATACACGAATATCCAAGTGCTGATGACTTTGAAGGCAAGAAAAGACTTCATGGTGTTTAAACAGCGTGATTTATTGTGAAGTGGTTTACTTTAGCTGACTTTTTGTACGCTCGAAGCTATGTTTACCACTACAGAGGAAAACGAGGTCGCTTTGTCACTGTTTTGTGATTTCGGGATTTTCTCGCAAGACCAATTTTGCCTATAAATAGAGGTTAATTTATGGAGAAGAGAGGAAGGCAAATATTTTCGAAAATTGTACGTGCCAGCAAGTTAACAAGGCAAAGAACTTTGGAGATAAACAACGCTTACCTTGATCGCAGCCGCTGTTGACAGCATTTGCAAGAAGCGACGAAGAAAACTTTCTCATTCACGGTGAGTTGACAGAAACAAATAAAGCTCTAGATACTTTTCTTCTCAGAATTGGGTAGTAATTTAAATTTTCGGCGTTTTCTTTTAAACCGTTGATGCTAAAGCTTACAAAACTCGATACAAAAGGATTAAAACTATCATTTGCCATGTTTGAAGATACTGTAAAGATCTAACTTTTGCGCATCCACTGTTTACGGCTTCGTGTTCACGCATGAATTTTCACCCGTCAATCAAACTAATGGTTTTTTAATGGTTTCCTTTCTGATTCTGTTGAGATCACTTCGTGTGAATATTCTAAAACAATTATTCACCTCAGGCTCAGTTAATATTGTTGAATAATCCCCTCGACTTCGTCTCGGGGATAATTCAACAATATTAACTTCGCCTTCGGCGAATAATTGTTAAATATTCACACAATATATAGCTTTTGGGGCGCCATAAAGAGCTATCGGCATAAGGCCTCTGTTCAAACACAAGAATGGCTGTGCCGCGCCGATCTCGAAAGTAGAGCATAATTCATAATTTTAAAAATCACATTTTGGTGACCTGCTACGATGTTAATCATTTTAAGAAAATAGTTCGGGTTTGAAAAACCAAATCACTATTATTTTGTTTAAGACATGACCCACTAATCATTTTTCGAAAGCAAAATCGTTACTAACTTTCCGGCATTTTCATTAAAACGATGTCACATGACCTCTTAGTACAAATGGCCTACTATGCCGGTGGACGCTGTTTAAACTTTATGAAGAATTGATAGATATATTCGAGGAAAACAAGCAGGGTTTTAATTGGCAGTAAAATCTGTACGTTAACTCACTTCGTCGCATTTGAAGAACATTATGGCCGACAGGTGTCTCGCAAAACCGTCGCGAAGTCTCTTGCTGAAGGTTTTACACTGCAATTCTCGGGGTTTCACATGGGGAGAATTAATTACGATTCAGCAACAGTGAGTAAGCATTTCCGTTTTTACTGAACAAAGAAACATTTCATTTCAGAATGATATTTCGCTACAAACCATGAGATTGGGAGTCGTGTGCTGAGAAAAGTTAAAAGAGAGTCCAGAGTCCACATGACTATCTTATCGTCCTGTGAAATTTACAAAATGATTCATAATCTTACATCAAAAACTCTGGACCGCGAAATCAAGAGAAACAGCTGTGGTCCTCGTCACACTTTGCTTTGGAGCACTTTGCGTTGGAGAAGCAATTGACCCCGTGACAATGAGATTGTGCGTGCGCATTACGTCATAGCGTGAAGTTCAAAATGGCGACGAAAACGGCACAAATATGTGACCAACCAAAGGAGTGTGAAGAATCTGACAGAAAGCGCCTCTACTGATGCTCTGTAGCCGCGCAACGAAATTGGTAACCGCGCCTTGAAGAATAGATTGCGTTCTCCTTCGTTGAACGCAATAATATCACAACAATTACCAACAGAAATGCCTTGACAATTTTTTAAATTTTGATTAACTTACAATGCAGACAGTAAAGCTGAAAAAAGAGTGAAATTTAACATAAAGGTCAGATACGTCAATTGGCTTTTGATTTAATTGCACATGCATGGCAGATGACATTGGGTTTTCTTCATTGAAAATTCAAGAGTGCAGTTAATTGCGAATAATTATTGATTTAATAAATTTGTTGGTTTTCCAGGTTTGCTGGATTATAATCTGTGGAAATGGTTGTGATTAGAAGCAAAACGTACACTAATCCCTTAATATAACTTACGAAATATTGGTGGAAATACAATTTTAAGAGAAAGCCATTTGAAACTACTTTGTTCAAATGTAAACCCTTTCAAGTCACTTTTTTTATAGCTACATGATTGTCATTTCTCTTCATATTGCAGCTGTTCTAGTTACCAAGGAGACGATAATGAGTTCTTTTATTACCAGGTTTTGTTAAAATCCGATAAAAGTGACAGACTCCAACTTAACTCGTTCAGTCGAATTATCGATCGTCTTCGCGTGGATTTCTTGGGTTTATGGTTTTGCTGCCACGGGCTAAAACAAAGATCCTTGCAAACCAGTCTGTTAGAAACAACATCTTGTTTGGAATTAGAAATGAACTTTTCCGTCGAGTCATCAAAAGTACACAGCGGTTGTGATTCACATAAAAAGCTGGGTATGCAAGGATGGCAACCAAGCTATCTTAACAGCGAAACATCAGCTGCATTTATATCAGTGATTATTGCCAATTCACTCGTGCTTCCATTTAGCATATGTTTAAACGTTCTGGTGATAATCGTTGTCATAAAAACACCTCGTCTGAGAAATAAGTACAACACTTTGTTGGCCAGTTTGGCCGGAGCTGACATTTTGACAGGTGCATTGGGGCAGCCAGTCTTCATTATCAAGCAGACATATCGACTAACAACCAAGATGAACTGCTTCATCGAAAATAACGATATATTCTTCTACGTTCCACCAGTCATCGCATCAACGCAGATTTTGACGTTAATGAGCATAGAGCGTTATATAGCAATAAAATATCCCTATAATTACAATGATATCTTTACCAAACACCGATTATTCGGAGGGATACTGGCAGCTTGGTTTTATGCACTTGGTGTAACACAATTGAATTTGATATTTCCACAAAATTCAAGTCTTAGTGTGAGTTTTTCAATTTTTCGCATCCTAGTTTTAATTTTAAGTTTATGTATTTTAGTCTTTTGCCACGTTGCCGTTTATCATGAGGCCCAAAAGCAAATACGGAAAATTAGGGCACAGCAACTTTCTCCGAAAGCCAAGGAAACGTTTTTAAGAGAAAACAAAGCTTTGAAGACTACAAGGCTCGTTCTTGGGGCAGCGTTGTCCACCACTCTCCCTCATATGTTTATGAGAGTTGTTTTGTCACCTCGCATCGGCACATCTGTGATGGTATTTTTACTGGAAGCGATATCTCTGTCTATTGTGTTCTGCAACTCTTTATTTAATCCGTTGATTTACTGTATAAGAAACCGCGAGTATCGCGCAGCTTTTAAAAGAGTCCTACGGTTACGACGAAATCAAGTGCAGTCAGCAGGGATATCCAATTAAAGTGTTGTTGGCACCTATTTTAAAAATCACAGTTACAGTTACATCAAGGGAAATAGATAGCCGCCACCTTTTAACGTTCCTCCTGGCTGATCGAAATCCCAGTTTTGGGATTGAAAGTCACTTTAGATCGGGTTAAACCATGCAATCTTGACTTGAGCCCCTCGAACTTTTCACGTACGAAGTTTAGAATGGTATATTGTACTTAAAAATGCGTTCTTTGTTGCTTACTAGATTTAACCGTGAAAATCTTGCAAATAAATGGTTATTATTCCTTTGTAAATTATCTCAGGAGAGGTAATAAAGTTATTGTATTGTATGGCACGATCTTTCCAATTCGTTTTCCCAAGATGGCTATAAAGGCTCTGGGGCTTCTGTCTCGGAGTTGACCATCAATGGTGGACCATGCTTACAATTTATATAGTCAAACATTCGGCTGAAAATACCATCCACAAACATTTAGCAATTAAATATGATCTCTTAATGGAACGATCGACCCACGAGTGTATACAAGTCTTCTGAAGAGACTAAAATAAAAAGAGCACTGACTCCATAACTTCTAAAGCTTCCTAAACAAAAAGGCGCGAAAAATTTAATTTTCCAACGTTAATTTCCTTTTTTTTTTTCATGTAATGGTTAAGACCCCCAGGTGCTTGTGACCTGAAGCCAGTTGCTAAATAGACTAAATAGGGCTCACCCCTTTTTTCTTTGAAATTTACACCGGACATTTTTTCCATGCAGGCGGGCCGTACTTGACTTACAGAGGGCCGCTGAAATTTAATATATAGAGGATATTACACGGTGGCGCGAAGATATGAGTTTTATTTTCGAGTGGCAAAACAATATTTTACGAACGAGCGCAGCGAGTGAGTAAAATATTGTTTTTGCCACGAGAAAATAAAATTCATAGCTTCAGGCCGCCGTGTAATGTTCTTTTTATTATATAGACAAAAAAACATCGATAAAATAATAGATGGAAATGACCGAAATTATGTCATCGATAAACTCACGTGTGAGATTATGGAAAATAAACCACTCGGGTCCCGGATGTAGTTTTTATGAATTTTACGAGTGGTATATTTTCCAGTAAAACACTCGCGTCTATATAATAAAAACGTTTAACAGCGGCCCTGTTGTCTGTATTTTTCATGTTCTTGCCAAGACAAGGGTTTAACTGATCCTTCCAAGAGCTACCAAATTAAAACTGAGTTCAAATCTTAAAAGTGATGCATGTTCAGTAATTGTTTGTTTGTTTTTTTACATCATTTAAAGAAAAATAGTACCGTACACATTTCCAAGGCTTAAAAGCCACGCCGCGCCAACAGAGTTCGCTGAACCAGTCATCCTAACCAAATTTTTACCCCAATTCCGTAATTTCGTCAGCTTTGATCCGCTGCCTATCGCATATCGTGGTCCCGAAAATATGTTACTTTTAAAAGTTTTTTTTTTACATTTCTTACTTGATGTTGGTTCACTAAAACAAAAATTATACAAACCCACTTCCTAAGATCAACAAATTCCGTTTCGTTTTCACAATCTCATTCCCCGGGATGAGTGTTGCTCCCCTTTTCCGACGAAATTCCCGGCGAATCTCGCGGGGACGGATACGTACGTACTTACCATGCATTTACATGGGAAATCCGGAAGTTCTGGTTGGAAAGTTAATGTTTAATTCGAGCCATTCCGTTTGGGGCGCTTCAGAAAATATGGGCCGTAATTTGTTGTAGTTTTTTTTTTTTTGCAATTTTTCTACTCTTTTTAGTCTGTTCAGCTGATTTGGATGTACATCGTAGCGGGTCGTCCTCCCAACCACATCAAATTTCATAGTTTTTAATATGTTTATGCAAAAAAATTTCCACCTCGGTGCAGTGGGTTTGTATAAGTGGTAAATAATCGTCGGAGCCGCTCTTTAAGGGACCGTCACCATAGGAATTCGTAAACAGACTGAATCAGCATTTGTACCCTATTTATTAAATAGTATCATACCAGTTCACTGATTTGTTTGCGCAACTTTATAAATTCCATCGACCGCTGGTCTCTCAGTTGCTCCCTGTAAGCTTCGCTGAGTATCTTTATTGTCACCATATAGAAGGATTCCTTCAGCTCTATTTAAAAACAAACAAAGCATTGTGTTCAGCTGATTAAGTGATCTACTCTTTGACTTGTAGACATCTACAGTCGGCTTCTGGTGGCTTGTACCCGAAGTGGGGGTACTAAACAAAGTTTTATTCAGGGAGGCTGCTGTATACGCACTGTCAGTTTGAGATATGAATAAATCACAAAATCAGAGCGTTTCCACGATCTTTTCACAGCCATAAAGTGCATCTGTTTGTTCTTTTGGGTATTTTTACAGACCGAAGTTACAGATTTCCCTAACCTTTCATATTCCTTAACTAATTCAAAAAAAGGCCCTTTCCATTATCGTATGGAACAGCACTTGACAGAGCTGCATTATCCACTCTTTCTGACCGTCGGACAGTCTATTATCTGTATCAAATTTATAGGTAAGGTTCGGCCAGGTAACCCGCTTTACCCACTAATACACAACAGAGTGGCACCTATATCTACCAGTGTGTCTAAGATCAGGGAGTTCTAGCAGGCCCATGGCCACAAGGACTGAACGTTTCTCAAATTTTGGTTAGTGTTAAATATTAATCTTGTCAATCAATGTAGCGTATTAGTATTTATTATATTGACACAAGTGTTTTACTGGAAAATATACCACTTGTAAAATTCATAAAAACAACATCCGGGACCCGAGTGGTTTGTTTTCCATAATCTCACACGTGAGTTTATCGATGACATAATTTCGGTCATTTCCTTCTATGATTTTATCGATGTCTTTTTGTCTATATAATAAAAAGAACATTACACGGCGGCTTAAAGGCATGAATTTTATTTTCTCGCGGCAAAAACAATATTTTACCCACTCGCTGCGCTCGTTCGTAAAATATTGTTTTGCCACTCGAAAATAAAACTCATATCTTCGCGCCACCGTGTAATATCCTCTATATATCTATCACAACTTGTAAGGTATTTTACAATTCAGTCTTCCGACTGCAAAAGGGACAATAAACCAGTGATTTGATTTGATTTGATTCCCTACCCTTTTTTATACCTGAAGCCTGAAAAAGGTACCTTTTTAGGCAAAGCCTTCCCGTAAAGGCCTTTTGAGTGAGTACCCCCGGGGGAGAGCTTGTTCGAGATGAGCATTTGGAAAAGTAAAGCATCCCAGACAACTGCGGACGTTCGTTTATCTATTTATTTATTTATCTATTTACCAGCTTTTCTGGACACAGGCCTGCCCAGAGGGAATGTGCACGAACGGGACTCATAGGTCCCATGCAAGGTGCCATCCCTGCCCAATCCCACACCCACAACCGGTGGTTGGCCACACCACCGGGGTCTACGACCCCTAATCTTTTCGAATAGTGATGTAGGTTCTTTTACGTCCCACAAGAACAGATCAGTGAAAGTGCTGTGAGACCGGACCTACGGTTTTTCGTCCTTATCCGAGAAGACTTGAAAGTCTAACCATTTGCAGATATCATTACAAAGGCAGCACTTTGTTCTCAGTTATTTAAAGACCCTGAGTGTTGGTCCGGCCGGTGTTTGAACCCGCGACCTCCCGCTCGGCAGACCTGCGCTCTCCCAACTGAGCTAACCAGGCGGCGGTCGATCCCCTGAGTACAAAACAAAATTCAGTAAGGGTCTTACCGCACTCAGACAACAATTAGAATGATAATAGCTGACCTCGAAATTTGATGACTTTACCTGGAGATCGAAGTTTTAGGGGGCGACTGTACACACCGATCCTGTTTTTGTACCCCAGGCGAGAACTAAACTCGTACACTGTTTCGTACTGAAACTTTCCAGTAAGAAATATTGACTGCGGAGGATTGTTGTAATGATCTTCAATCCATGCACTGTAACCCTCTTTTCTATATCGAACGAAAAGACTGCTAGGCTTTCTAATTCCGTTGCACTTGTCAGCTGACCATGAAATTTGTACCGTGGTGATGTTCGCGAAAACAACAACAAACGTTTTCGGTGGATCAGGCTCTGTAAACAGGAGATATTAAGTCAAGAAATGTACTTTAAAGCCAATTTACACAGTACACTAAAAATTTTTCGCCTTATCGTAATACGAAATAAAATAAGGCGGACGCAAGAATTGGATCAATTTTTGGTTTTCAGTTTGTCTTTTTCCTTATGGTCGAAAGATCGACCCGTGAATTGGCCGCCAATAGAACACCCGACAAATCGAATCGCGTAAACGAGCCTGTGATGTTTAACTTAATGTTAACTTCATTCAAGTAATTTTTTTCTGTTATTTTGCCTTTGAGGCCGTCTTAAACGTTCAACTTTAAATGTATTAAGTGTGCTTGTTTGTATTTTTTTTTATCGTATGATATACTAAAAGTTTTAAAGGCGTAGGTACTGTGGGCATTTAATTTGTGTGAAAATAATTGATGATGATGATAGATATAAGGCGCAAAATTGACAACAAGAGCAAAAAAACTAAGAAAAACCAACCTAAGACTTCAAACGTAATGGTTGGTCTCGACCCATATCCTAGTGCATTGTACGGCATACAGGAATATGTACCAGACAAACTGCAGCTCATGCTATTGATGCCGAGCGACGCCTGCCATTTTATGCCACTGACCAGGAGGTTTCTATAGAATATTAGCTTAAACACAGAGCCGGGAATGCGCCATACGAATCTAGGCTTTGGTTCTGCTGTTACGAGGCAACGCACCCTCACTCGTTGCCTTTTGCTTACAAATATCTTTTGTGCGTCTTGGACGGCTGTACCATTGACTTCTAGATAAGTATCTGTTGGCTTAACTAGTTAGAAAAATGAGAACAAATAAATTATGTGATTTTCTTATCAAAATCATCAAGCATTGGCTTAAAAGAATGTGAATTCTGACTTCTTTTATTTTTTTTGAACAATTTAAACCATGTTTGATATAGAAATGGAGATTTTTGAAAACGATGATGTCGTACTAATCGTATACGACGGTTAGCCTTACGTAACATCAGTTTAAACCAGATTGGACACCTTATGAGATTTACACAACACATTATTCTCTTAACGTAACGATCCAATAGCATAGCAGAACCCCACTAACCTTGTAGAATTACTGAAAAGGAATTAAACACTGATCTGTAGTGTCCAGGGTTAAGCACTCAACTGAAAACGGCGAGGTTTCAAATATGATGATGGGATACGCCACAAGTACAGGTATATTTTAAAAATTACTGGAATAGGTAGATAGTCCTCGATGCAACCTCGTTCCCAGGTTCTTTCTCCTTCCCGTCTAGTCTCTCTCTCTCTCTCTCTCGCTCCGTAGGGCGGGTAGGAGAGAACCCTGGGAACGAAGTTGTCCTCGATGGTGTAGCGAATATGGATGTAAGTTTTGAAGCTAGTGTCTCGGGTTCAAAACATCCCAGTTCTATTTATCTATTTTATTTTATATTACACAGTAAAGTTGGCTTTAAGTTGTTCCTCATTTAATTTTACTGAAAGAAACAATCTGGCTTTAGCCGATGTTACCTAATGCTAACACTATTCGACTAGTATTACGCATGCTCTGTAAGGGGTGCTATCGTATTTCCACCGTTTTAGCGTTTCATGTGGACGGGAGAAAACGACTCAAAAACGTTACATGTGAACTTGTATAAGAAAAAAAATTCCATTTGCAAAAGGTCAGGGCCTGATCTATGAACAATTAAAAATACAGCGATCGGAGAAGCCGAAGCGAAGTTAGGCTGATCGGGGTTTCATATGTTACATAATTATGATCTCTAACTTTCACGATGACTCCTATTGTCCGATCAGACTCGAGCAATTCACAATGGCCTAGCACAGTTACAAGTGAAAACGAGGTTGGAGTTGACCTCGTTTTGATACAGCCCTATCTGCCTTGTTATGTAAATCACGTTGTTTTTCTTTATGCCAACTTTTTTTTAAAACATAATTTCCGTAATAAAAGGAAAGATGTTTGTATCAAAATAAGGTCAACTCAACCTCACGTCCAGTCAAAGGCTGGATACTAAGCCCTCAACGGGCCTGAATCGCATCGTAGGTGTTTGTCGATGCTATTTTGTTCTGCCCCCAAATCGTCCAACGGTATTTTGAAAACATTTTATTGGAAAAGACTATTCACTCATTCAGTTTTTGAAGAATGTAAATCGTTATTCAGTTTTAATGTCGGCATTGCTAAGTAATTGCAGTGACAACTTGGGACAAGGAAAAACCTAAATCAATTAAGCTTACTGTTTGTCCAGAAGACAACACTCTTTATTTGGCTTTTTCCAACAACGTTGATGGCGTATATCTGGACATGATACTTCTCCCCTTTGGTAGCATTCTTGAGGTCGAATGTTCTATTGTCAAAATAGCCAGCGTTATTCCACTTTGTCGAAGAATACTTCTTGTATTGTACAACGAAGTGTGATTCTGGAAGGCACTTATAACCAGGGACGTTCTTCCATGTGATTTGTTTTGTTTGCGGATCCACCACAAGATTTGAGGGAGGCCGTGGTAAATCTGGTTGTATAAAAAAAGTCAGAACTCATTCGCCACTTGCACATCTCCCAAAATGCACCTTTTTTTTTCCCACGAAATTTTATAGAAGCATTGTTTTCAATTTCTCTTGGGAGGGCCGTAATACCGAGGAGAAATGAAAAACAAAGGTTATGCAAAATTTGAGGGAGCAAACAGGGTGTGTTATGTGAGATGTGCAAGTGGTGAATAGTCATAGCGACATAGCCTTCTTGTTCTAAAGAACATTATACACTTAATGTCAGATCCCGAGGGAAACAGTTAGTTTTGTTTTCGCAAGAGTCCTGATGTTTCCCGAGACGAAGTCGAGGGAAACATCAGGACTCGAGGGAAAACAAAACTAACTGGTTTCCCGAGGGACTTGACATTAAGTGTTTTGTTATATTTCTAGACTTTCACTTCAACAGCAACAAAAGAATAACCGGAGCGAACCAAAACAGTCGACTCGGTACTTATAACAACACAAATTTAATTTTCAAAACCACTGAATGAATGATTTACAAACAAAAGTACTTTCCTCATATTATCTGCATCTTTTTCCTCCACTAGCTGCTGTTTTTCTTCTGGGAACTTCTGGGATAACTTTAAAAATCGTTGTATCCCGAGCGGGATACATTGTTTAATGTATCACGATCGGGACACATTTGATTTTAGTCAAGGCCACGTGACCAAGAATCAACCAATGGCAGTCCCTGTTTAGTTGAGTGAAAGTCTAGGAATATAACAACACAGTTTGAGATCCTTTGCTGAAATATTGTGAATAATTATGTGTCATGATCAGTGGATAATACCCAGCTATCATATTCTTACCAAATATGGTAATGGTGAATTGTCGCTGGTCACTACCATACTTATTCGTCGCCACACATGTGTAATTTCCTGCCTGTTGGCAGTTGATGTCTTTAACTATCAGCATACTCATTTTGTCATCACTGCTGATTGTGTAATACGCACTGCTTTGGACGGTGTGATTGTCGTGATACCACGTGATGTTTGACGAGGAGTTTGTCGTGCATTGCAATGAAGTGGAATTGTGCAGATTGGTTGAATAATCTGTATTCCTCGTCAGAATAATCGGCGATCCTAACAAACACGAAAAACATACCTTGAGAAAGGACTAAGACGTTTAGCGGGGAAAATTTATAAGTTTCCATTCTTTAGCATGTTTTATTGCTGTTGTAAATGGATCAAATAAAAAAATGGGCGTTCGGAGCATACGATTAATTGGCAATAGCTCTCGTTAGGATACCTAGTTCTCCAAAAGTAAATCTTGAGGTCTTCTTGTGCCTTAAAAGTTTATTTATGGTCACGTGACGCGTCACTTGCCAAAAAATTGAAAATGAAGGAAATTGGCGAATTGGTGGCGAATTACTTTGTTTAGATGAATAAATTGGCGTTTCTGATAGAGGGTGAATATACCTTACTTTCTACATTCGGAATTAATGCACGCGAAGTTTAAAATTAAAGCTTTAAATATTAAATTCAAGATTAAAATTAGGGCATTTGATGATAGACAATTGAGAATTCTGCAATGCTGATCGTATTACGGGAAAATTATCTTTGCAAGACATCAACACGACACCGAAAGTTGTCGACGGCTACAGCCCCGTTTTGTTTTGAGTTCTTTCGGTGTCGTGCTGATGTCTTGCAAAGTTAATTTTCACGTAGTACGATCAGCGTGGCCGCATTCTAAATTGTCTACTAGGTATATTTTTGATGATCAGGTCTTTTTTTGATCCTAAGTTCTGCAACATATTCGTTTGCGGTCCTTTGCAGTTAATGTTTAATTAGTATTTCAAATATTTTTTTCGCTCATAATTTTTTCTGAGGTGCAATGGACAGTCATTCCAAACGTGAAGAGTTCGAAATATTTCATTGCAATGAGAAAAATGTTATTGCTTGATTTCTTTTCTTACATCTGCTACCAATTTGCCAATTATTTAAGATTTTTTTGAAAAATGGTCTCGTGACATATCACGTGACTTAGAAACACAAAATTTTTACTTTAAACTGTTAAGGACGATGAGTGCTTTACTATTGCAAAATTTTGATTCAGCTCATTATCCTCTGTGCCAAAGTTAGAGAGAGCCAAGAAATAATTTTCCAAAGGTAAACCTAAGAGCATACCGGTCCCTACTAACCATTTAAAGCTGAGAAGAGTACAACGATAATTATGCAAGACCAGTCCCAAGCATTCCTCATCATAAGCCAAACTGAAACAACAAAATGTTGATATGGGAAAGAAATGCATTAATATTAATATATATAGTTTGATTTAGTAATAATACAGTTCTGGTCATAATACTCAGATTGTCATGAAAACCACAAAATTAAAACCTTCTGATCATTTCCTGTTTTCCGGGAAAAATTAACAATTTCAATAAAATAGGGCTTAACGACAGCTGACATATTACACATGATTACGGGTACGTTATGCAGACAACCTGTTAGCAGTAGGCTAGATTTTGATCTTTTTTATTTTATTTTTAAGATTAAACATCATTTTAAGAGCCAATATTAAATCATATTATTTCAGCCACTCCTTCTCTTGAAGTCGTCACCTATTTGGATTCCGCTCTTTTTCTGTGTAGAAAAATTAAGAAATAAAATCACGGAGAAAATTTCTTTTCGAGAGTGAAACGTTCTTTAATCCTTAACGTTCGTCTATAAGATACACTGAATTGAGAGCTATTTTACATAAGGCTACAGCCGTCTACTCCCACATGAAAATAGCTGTGAACTACTGGACGGTACTTAACTCTTAGTCGACCCCCTTAGTCTATGGAAAACCTTCCGCTCAGGGTACCTTGAAGTTATAAGGTACCTGAGGCTTAAATTTGCTGGTTAGAGTGCTACCTGCCAACCAGAAAAAGGAAATTTCACGTTATGACTTGGAAACCATGGCATGATTGTCGGAGCTGACCAGCTTAGGACTAGTCGATGATCTTTTTTTTTAGGAGGCTGGTTGCAGTGTAGGACAGAAGAACGGAAACACGCATGTAGAACATCGTTGAAGGCCAATAGAGATCAGCATGATAAAATGATAATGTATACACAAGGCTATACAGCCAACTCTCTCTAAGACGGACACCTTTGGGACCGGCACTAAGTGTTCGTCTTATAGAGAGTCAAATAAAAGGAGTAAAGAAAGGCACGGACCAACTCTAACTGTCCGTTTAACAGAGGTGTCCGTCTTATAGATGTGTCCGTTAAGCGAGAGTCGACTGTATATGGTTTTATTGATAAACAGAATTCTAGTTAAGGTTGAGCGAATAATAAATTGTTTTTAATTACACTTTGCTAGCAAAAGAATCAACGTTCGGACTAACAGTCTTTGATAAACTCAAGTTAACTGAGGTTAGTTTGATGCAGTTACTTGAATAATGTCATGTAGTTTTGAAAGCGACACGTTACGGCTCAGAAATCAGCCTTAAATATAGGAGGAAGAGATGAAACTCGTCCCAGCTAAGAACAGATTTTGAGAGTTTAATTCTTTTAGTAAATTTCTTAAAAACGAGAACAATGTGAATTAAAAGGTTTACCTCAAATGAAAGATGCCTTTTAACTAAATTAGCTGAAAATGGACCACTTTACAGTGCGTAGAAGAAGATTTCAAAAGTCAACAAAACCCTTATTGACTGAGCAGAAGGTGGCATAATAGAGGCGACGTCAATCAAAAGATAACTATAAAACTTTCAGATAGTGACCATCAGCGAAAACAAAAACTATCCCTGTAGTAAAAAGAATCAGAATAATAATTAATAATAATCACTAAGAGTTGGTTAACGTAAATAAGATCGAAATTACAGGACAGCCAGATAGTATTCTCGCCGAATTAAAATTTTGTAATCTATAGAAATACAGCATGTTTGTCTTTTGACGTCCGCTCTGCAGATGTCCCATTTGCCTTTGTACACTAAATCAAGGGAATCTATTGAAAGGCGTTTAGATGAAAATGGACACCGTTTTTTCATAGTAATTGCGTCGATCGTTCCAACATTTCCGAGAGCTTTAAAGAATTGAAGTACCATTTAACTGCAATCATAAGGCAGGACAATATGGGATATAACGAAAAGAAGAACCGTTAAGCTCGTTAATGAAGAACACAACTTGTCATATTTAGTTTAAGGCTTGCATGCAAGTTTAAAAGAAGACGAATCAGACAATACTCAAGCAGCTGTTTAAATTCGCATTGTGTTGAATCTATCTGAAATGGAATTGAATGTGTTCTTCAACATAGCCAACATAATTTTATCATATATTTGCTTCTATAGTAAACAATGTTTACTGGGAAACTTCGAAGACACTTCCCGACGATATTAATTTCTGGCCCTTTTCCGAGTCTTCTTTTCTTGAAAGATTTTACTTTACTGACCTGTCGAGCGATGTGTGTAAGAAAAAGTTAAATAGAGCATGGTACCTAATCTCTCCGTATTTTGTCGGCATTGTTGTTACACTGCAAACCAATTGCTTAGGTTCTTGCGGTGCTAGTAGATAATTAGTACTGACAATATCTAAGAAATAAAAATCATCGTGTATACAACGCAGTATTATCAGCTAGGGTCAACTCAATTTGTCTTGGGGCACGGAAAATAACTTTTTTCCTGAGTGAAACCCTTTAACGAAAATGAACGAAATTGGTACGTTATTGGGTCTTATTGTAGTAATGGCTGCAAGATGTTTTTTTGAAAGTTACACTATTCAAAATTAGATTAGATATTCCTTTAATTTATGTCTTCAAACATGCGCTAAACCTTTGTAGCAGTGAGAGATATGAGGCTGTACGTTTTGTACAATTTATACAACTCGAAAATGAAAAGACTTCTGTTATTGCTCTTCCTATGTCCTGCAATCCGCCAAATTATAGTTATATAGTTATAGTCTCTATAATTCCTACCCTTTTCTATTATAACCTCACTTGGACTGTTCTATAATAAGCCGAATTCGGTTCGTGAAAAAACTCACCGTCAAAAACTTACTCAGGATGTAATAATCAGACTCTGCATTTTAACTAAATGTCAAGACTCCTTCTCAGGTTATCTCACAAAATATTTCTCTTAACAACTTCTGGTTATGTTTCTTGAAGCAATTTTCAACCAATCGCCATGCACGCTGCCGGAGATGTCAGCCAGCCTTGTGACTCGCCAAGATGAGATCTAGATATCAGCTGATATGAAATTGTAACGTTCACAAAAGCAGTCGGCTTGTTAGATAACAATCTCTATTCACCCGTGAGAAGGAAATTGCATTCAACAGCCCATGGCTCAAATTCATGCCCGGTGATTTGTTTCTTTAAATATGACATAAACTAGTTGACACTTAACATCAGTTAAAGACCCTCATAGCGCTTTTTTGCTTATCCTTAACCCTTTTTTTGCAAAAAAAATACGTTTTGAAACTTGTAGAATCGTTTCATCGCCATCTCTGGCTATAAAGAGCTAAAACCTACCACAAAACCGTTTATATGTCGTACACTTTGCAACACTCTGATCCAGATGCAAAATCAGTCAGCTTTCTAAGTTTGGGCATGCGCAGATAGCTTTGACTTATTCTTTTCGCTTTCTCTCTTTCCCTCTTCTTTCACTTTTCTTGCCTCATCTTTTTCTGTGGCTAGGCATTTAGTAGGCATTTCGGTGGGAAAAGTTTTAGGGAAAGCTTTTAGGTTCTTAGGATTAGATGCAAGGAAAGGTAAGTGGATGGTGGAACAATCTTTTCATGGAGATTTTCAGGTCAACGTTGCATGTTTTGTTCGTCTATCTCTTGGGCCTCCTTGACTGAATCGTGGTATGGTTTGAAAGATCTTTTCACCCTGCAAAAGGTGAATGACAAATTTGACCATGACCGTCTAAACTGATGACGTCACAAGCGTTACACAGAAATGTGGATCCGCACGGGCGGTTACGTGTGCTTCTGTGAAGAATAGGTTAAAACCCAGTTCAGAGTGGCTTCCCACCCAGAAGTTCTTAGGGCTTCGTCAAGCGCTTCGGAACCCTACGAGCGTCCTCATTGGGAGGCCAAGTTCAGAGCGTCTGGATGGCCACAGCACGAAAAGTGAAATTTACCGAACTTTAGCTGATTTCTTAAAGTTCCGTAAAGTTCAGAGGTAAAGCCTTACGCAAGTTTACACTATCATGTAAAGGTGCGTAAAGTCGAACCAGTAAAGCTGCCCGTAAAGCTGCCGTAAAAGATGCTTAAAGAGAGCACTTTACGACACGTGAGAAAAGTAGTGTAAAGCTACGTTAAAACGATCTTTACTTATTGCATAAGGGTTCGTAAAGATCCGTCGATAACGTTAGCCTCGAAAATGAACAATTTTTGTCTGCCTTGAACAGGACAGGGCCTGAAGGCCCGGGCGGCACAACTCCACCCAAACTTCCCTAGTGAGTGCGTACACCTCTTACGGGGAACGAAACAATCTACAAATGCTAGTCGACCTGTACTTAGGATTGAAGAGGAAACAGTTATTCCTGTGTGTAACTTCTTTGTCTCGTCACAAAGCTTCGTTACCTGGACGGAGTCCCGGTTGTTCAGAAGCTGAATAGCGCTATCGATCCACCGAGTAAGCCACCATCTAGTGGATGATTCCTTCTTAGAGGAACCAATTACGTTATCGGCTGGTTAGTGATTTGTCCAGCAAATGTGGAATCCGTAATCCAGGGAATTCAGCTCAAGGGATCCGGAATCCTTCTAACGATTGGAATGTGGAGTCCTGTACAGGGATCCGGAGTTTACAGCCTGGAATTCAGATTCCAAAAAGACTGGATTGGATTACCCTACATGGGGCCGGGAAAACAGAGGCAAATGCATGTGCACTTCTCATTGAGATATTGTAGATGGTTTAGGAGCCTTTCAAAACAAAAGTAAAAAAATTCTGAGCGGGGAAGGTTAAAGTATTGTAGTTTAATTTCTCACTAAAAAAATTATATTTATCACGTTTCGCCATCTCTCCCACACAGAGAGGCGTAAATCAGTAATCTATACTAAAACAATGTTTTAACTTTGTCCCTGAAATACCCTGTATGATAATGTTACCGGCTAACAGAAAAAGAGTTAGTTAATAACTAAATATTTGTGGGAACTCCCCTGATAGTGGCATTAATAAATAATTGCCTCTCGATTAAAAAAAAAAAAACTTGAAAACCTGTCCACGCGCTTGCATACAAGATGATAATAAAATCGAAAGAGTGCATTCGCAATCTGAGGAAAAAGCATACAGCAAATGCTGTTCTAGTAGTTTCCTTAACAAAGGAAATTACCATTTTTCTTTTATTTTGCCTTTAGTTACTGCTGTGTAAATAAGCGAATTCAAACAGTGATGTCAAGTCTCAAACTAACATCTTCAGTCCTCTAAAGGGGGATTTTAAAACGCGATCAAAGAAATGACAGCTGCGAAATGATTCATATTGCATTGAATTTCGTTTTTCGACTTCTAAAGATTGGTAAATTAATATAACTCACGTCTAAGAAGGAAAGTTATTTATCAGCGACAGGATATTATTATTATTCCACAGTGGCATATTGACATCGCGGAGATAATCGGGAAATAAAAAGGAAAAAAAAAAGAAAGACAACGAATTCTGTTTCCTTGGTAACATATTAGCAATTCTATGAAGACGCCGGGCTTCCAAGCGAGGCCATATTATATTTTCTTCTGTATTTCAGGTGTTTTGCAACGGAGCGCCTAACTGACAAATACTGTAGTTGTTTTACAAGTGTTCTGTTCTTTAAGTCAGCTAAGAAAAGAGGAAGTATCGAGACTATTGCACAAAGGCTACCGAATTAAAGGAGACAAAAATCAAGAATTTATTGACACCGCGAACTGAACCTGGAGATGTTACTTTACTTGAAGATTATACACAGACAGGTTATTATTTCAAAAGTTTTTTGAAGCCGTCGCATTGGAATTGAAATCGGGGTAAGTAAAGACTAGAAAAAATTTGACATTTTACCGAAAGTAGAATTCTGGAAAATTCATTTTATCGGGGATGCTCTTCTAGCTCATCGCCGTCATAGTAAGTTTATCTTCGCGAGCTACTCACCAATTTGCGTTTAAATCGACTTTCGTCCGTGCCTTATTCATATAAAGCGATACCTGCTATAAAACGTGCGTTATTTATACCTGAAAAGGAAATACAATGATTTGAAGGAAAGGGTGAATCTCGTGGTTGTTATGAGCGGTCTGCAAGGATGACAAATTTAAAGCGGCGATGCATGGCGTTAGAAATGCAATTTCCGCGGTAATTTCTGATTGTCTTGATACCAGTATCTCGATCTGCGGCTCATGCCACGGTTCGCAGAAATTCGCACTTATCATCCCCGCGTATCACAGCCGTAAACCCAAGTAAAAAAAAAGTGAATAAAGTTTTCGTGGGCCTGCTCGTTAATTTTCGGCAAATGTTTAATGCTACAACAACTAGCTAATTGAAGGAGCAAGTCGCAGTTATAATAATAATAATGATAAAAGAAGGAATACAAAACGGACTCATCGCTGTGTTTCTACAAAAAAAAAAGAAGCGACAACGCGAATGACCAATTCACTTTATTTAAAAGAGGCAAGTTTTGAGTACCATCTTTCAAAGCTAATGTCATGTCCGTGTTCTTTAATGTTTCCATAATGAGCACCGATGCTATATAGAGCCTTCCGCCGTTAGAGATTTATACACTGCCCTTTTCAAAGATGCGGCAACCATAAGCGATGCATGAGACTTTGGAGAAAGAGGCTTTAATTTATTACTCTCGTTTTTGGGGTAGAAGAATAGGCATATATGTTAAAGCGGAGGCGTTGTGGAACACAATGGCAATATTTCCCGTGTCGAATTAGGTGTTTACCAAATGCAAATTCGAGGAGAAAATAAAACAACCATTTAAAATAAAGCATAGCGTCTTGAATTTTAAAACATGAAGGTACAGTGTGATAAAAACGGACATTAAAATGTACTAAATTAAAACTGGCACGTCCTCAGCAACATTTTACGTCTCTTCAATTCAATTCGGCAAAGATTTATCACAATCGTTAGTTTAAATACATATAGCTATTAAATATTAATATTGCCGTTGCCTTCGATTTAAAAAAGGAAGAAAAGAAAACAGATTTCACTGTCATTTTAAATTCAAGACGACAAAAAGACCGCTGTTTGCGTAGGTATTTACTTGTGGATCATGGAAGAACGTTTTTTCCTCGTCAGGCATTTTTGGGGTTGCCAAGGTGACAAACAAAGGGATATAAAATCTTTGAGATTAGCGGAAATATAAAAATTTTAGATAAATACAGCTTCTGCAGGTAACTTCTGTCTTTCTATATTAAAAAAGCGAACATGCATTAGAACATCTGTGTTGAAGTATACAATCTGCAGGTTAAAAGTAATTTACAAAGCTAGCGCTTGGTAATCGTTACACCAATGCACGAACATAAGATCTCCGCACCAAAAAAAGATTTCGACCTAATTAATTTGCCAAATTTTCCTTAACGTTTAGATTGTATTTGTTTACAAAATTCAAAGAAAACCTTTTTCTTTAAGCAGATAGATTCGAAGGAGCAATTATCATGCATAGAACTGTAATTTCGTGTTGCGAGACTTTCTTAAATTCTCGAGGACAATTTATTCCTGTTTGTTACGGGTTATGTTCTTAGTAGGTCCAGGGTAGAGTGTGATAATTACAAGCGGTGTTTTAGTCTTAAGCAAAAATTGTGTGATTCTAAGACGCTATTTCTTATATTTTATAACAATCAACAGAACCGCATGGGCTCTTGTTTGCAAATAACCTGCTATTAAATAAGTTTCTAGTCCGCGAAAAGGTGTGGAGCTGGCCAAGGGTTTAATTGGACCGTTACAGGCACCTAATCTCTGAAATGATGAAATCGGAGCGGAAAAGTTGGTTTGAATGACTCGGTTTCTTATGACAGGTTTTGTAGGGTTGTGAAACATGTAAGGTTGTCTTTACCGTAAATCTGCTTATGGCTTATTAATATCCGGCATGTTGATTTGTTTTTCTGACTTTGAAAATCGTAAGTCTTAAACTTAAGTTCTTTAACTGATTTTTATCAGTCCTTTGTAATTAAACTAGGCTTATCTGTGCCTGATTTAGGCCTGAACAATCTTAAGCAGCCACTCCTTGCCGCCTTCTCTGGATTCAAACCATGCCTGTGAATCACACCTGGCTGAAACTATTTCAAAATTATCATTATTTTCACACTTTGTTTTACTTTCCTTCATTACTACGTTTACTATACGTTGCTCAGCAATTAAAATCTTAAGTACGCCTTAATGAGGATATTTACTAGTTTATTATGTGACAGCACTTCAGCTTAAAACGTGGATAACATCAATTAATGATAAACTTTGGGAAATCACTTTTGAGGAACAGGTGTGATGGGACAGCTAAATCACGATATAAATCGCGAAAACGCGGATTAACACTTAACACAGATATCGCCGGAGGGGAAACAGTTCAAATAATAAATGACATATCTGTATATTCCAAGCGCGTGTGAGCAATAGTCCGAGATGTCATTATTTTAAGGCGATAACTCCAAAGATCTGGACAGCATGATGACTAGAGTTAAACTGCTCGTCGAGCTTGGTGTAAATAGAAAGTGTTCGGCAAAACAAGGCATATAAAACCCAGCTGACTTGTTTGATCTAACATTCGCTGTAAGAGGGCGATCGTTGCTAGAAGTCTAAAAGACGGGGAAGAGAGCAGATCAGTCCCATCTCGGCTTGTCTTTTCCTCTCCGGCCTCTGAAAGTCGAAACGTTTATATCAGTTTTAGAGGAAATTAAACACATGTTTAGTGAACTTAACATCTTCATTTGATTTATTAAATCGCTTTTTAGAAGGCTAAAAATGTCGCTTCAAGATGATGATACTTTGATGAATTATTTTAATTGCACCTGCTGTTCCATCCCGAGTCTGCTTGAAGTGTCTGAAGTCCAAATTTTAAATTAAAAAACCTTTTTGTAAAATATCGTAAAACAAATTGCAAAAGGGTCTACTAATAGACCCATAGCAAGCAGATTTAAAATGTGAAAAATTTGAAAGTTTTAACAGTTGTTTGTATATGTTAATTGCTTCAGTAAGAATTTTTGTCTTGTTACGGTCCTGCTCAATCCACTGAATAGTTCAATTTTAAAAACTATTGGCAATCTCAATAATTGCTCTTGTCTAATTCCTTTCAAGTTTCCTACAGAACTGTCATTCTCTCCCTTTCATCTGTTAAACATTTACAGTAATGCACTTATTTTCACTTTATCTTCCAATTTTCGTCCACTTCTTGCATTATTTCTGAAAAGGCTATTTGACCTTTAGTATCTTATTCACCAAAAAACGCAGTTACTGTATTCGCCCATCCGCCAGAAGATAATTAAGGTCCTTCTAAACTGAACCGGGCCGACCAAGCTATAATTCTGTGATACTGCAGACGGCTATCTTACGATATAAATATGAGGAATATATAATACGTTCTATATAATACATACAAATACGCCCAGAAGCCATTTATTATAAGTACAATGCTTAAAAAGGAAAAATCCCTGCGTGGTCTGCGCAAACAGATAACGCGCTGGTAAGCTTCACGCGATTCTAGAAAGACAAAAACATAACTTTGTAAATTCCTATATGCCTGCGAAAGGGTGGTCTGCAAAGTATAAATATACACGCTTTGGAGATAAAGTAGCGTCAATACTTCATATCGACTGCAGTCCACATCTCTAAGGTAAACATAGTAGCCATTTTTGATGCAACGGCTCACTGGTAAGTTCTGAAGATTCCTTACGACAAAGGGGAAAAAGGAGCTCTGAGGTTGAGATGGTATGGCCGAAAAAGTATCAAAGTGTCAAAAACGTTCCTTCAAGATTTGGTAGTGAGGAAAACTAGAAGGGGGTAAAAGAAAACGATGCCATTACCTGACAACATTTACACAAACCTGGAAAATCTCCTTTTTTTTTTGAGACTCAGAATCTAGCAAAATAAATGGCAGAAATGGCGTATCAGTATTCAAAACGTACACATCATTTCTACATGTGAGTCTCATCAGAGTCAAGTGTTAAAGCCAAGCCAATCTAGGTTGAATACGCTTTAACGCGCCTCTTACTGGTACATTGGTACCTTCATAATAACATTTTACCTTCCCTAGCCTTGCCACTTTCCTAGCAACATCACCCAGCTTAATTACTATTTCAGCTATTTATCTACACTGAATAGTCTTTTTTTTTCTTTTTCCCTCAACGCTGCCTAAACCAGAGATTTTTATTTAAATATAACAGTAATGTTATTTTACCAGGGTGACCTCATCAGCATAAAAGTCCCGTTGACAAGGAAGGTCCTGCCAGCAACAAATTGCTTGGTCAGTCTATCTGTCTGTTGTCTGTATCGTACAGCGTAGTTTGTTAGTCTTTGCTCGAAGTCACAAACCCTGATTCTTCAATTTTTAAGGAAGTTACTTATCTCATTCATCATCATCATCATTTGTCTTCATCATCATCCTCGTCGTAGTCATCATCATCATCATCATCATCATTATCATCATCAACACCATCATCGTCATCATCATCTACACTATCATCATCGTTATAACCGACATCATGATCCAAACTCTAGGCTATTTGCCTACTGTTTAATTATGATTAAGGACCAGGCAAGGAGTTTGTCATAGTGGCCATAGCACAAAAGTCAATAGGGAGTTTACTATACCACGAACGCAAAGGAAGCGAAAACGTCACCTAAAGAGGGACCTCGTGTTCTTTGAAACTTCAGCGCGATTTTCCCAACTGGCTCACTTTGTCTCATGCATTATCCGTCGGACCCTGTGACTATGATGATCATTCTTACTCTGGACAAGGACCTCGCCAATAAAGAACTCATGTCAGATAAACTAAAGAAAGCCTACGCGCGAAGGCCTCCGCGCCGAGAAAAATAAGGCGTTTTCTTCCCCATGATGCAATGACAAAACTTTGTAAAGCATTTATATTACCTCATCTAGAATACTGCAGTCCTTTATCTGTAGGCATGGGTACAGGTCAACGTAACCGTCTCGAAGATGGCAACTGTTATATTTTAAGAACGTTAATCGGGCTCAGTACGGTTCACATGAAATCCTTACATAATAGGCGTTAATACTTCTTTTTAAATGCTTCAGTGGTACGTGACCTACTTATAATGCAAACCTTTTTAAATATAGGCATACACCATACGGGATAAGAGGCGAGGGCGTGAATTTGGAATTAACTACGGTAATTTTAATCTTAAATTTAAAAGAATTCTTTGACTTATTTATTTACTAAGTTATGGAACAGTTTGCCCTCTCAAGTACGTCTTTTCAAGTGATGCAAATGCAGAGTTCAAAAGTATAAACTGCAAGTAGCTTTTTAGAGCGTGTCTTATTGTCTTCCTGTCACGTTTTTAGTTTATGGCGTTTTAGTAGGTTTTAGCTGCTTTTTATGTTTTATGTTTTTATTTTTAACTTGTTATATATTTATTGAGTTGTTTTTAAGATAGAATATGTTTATAATATCATTTGTCAGTAATCATTATAGATTTTATTAATACATGTTCGTGTTTTGAACGAGTTTTTTAGCTCCTGGAAGTAACGTGTTAAAATAAATGATTGATTGTTTAAATGTGGGCGAACTGTTATAGAGCGGAAATTCGTCATCCTATGTTCACGATGTCGATAAAATGTGAAAATAGAGAATTTACGTCGTGGTCGTGCAGTGGGGGCAAAAAAAGAAACACATTGAGTTGTGCACTTACAAAGTCAGTGGCGGTTCCAGACCTTCAGATAAAGGGGGGCCCGGTCATCCAGACCCTGAGATGAAGCGGGGGGGACGGCCTCAAAAAAAGTTTTTCGGCCCTTAGGGCCTCATTTTCGTCTAAAAATAAGGGGGGACCTGGGCTTTTTGACGTCCTCATTGCCTTAGCCGTAGTGACATCAGTCTTCAACTCCCCAATTCCAGTTGAAGCATGATGCGGGGGGCGCTTATAATCAATCAGGGAGGCGGAAAGCTACCTGGAAAATGAACGGAGTAGGTACGAAAGGATGGACAAAGGCGACGTAAACGAAGGTCTCCGGCGCACACATCATGCATCAATTGAACTTTTTAATGTCCGCACATAGATGTTAAGGGATCTTCAATTCCCCTTAGCCAACTGCGAGTACGGATCGACCAGCACTCCATCGACTCTCTCTGATCCTCGCAAGTATATAAGCCACCATCTTACTGCTGAGTTAAGCTCAGCCTTAAAAAACAGTTACACGGTGACTATAGAATAGTAAAGAGAACAAGCTTTTCATAGACTAACCTAATTCTAACCAGGCAAAGACGACGGCGACGAGAGAGAACGGGGTTTAGATAAGCCACACAACAACTTTGCACGGAAAGCAGGCTTTTTTGTACATTTCATTGCCGTCGTTGCACGACTACGACGTGAAACTGCCTAATTTAATTTCTCCTTTTGAAGAGGACGTGGACACAGGCCAACGACCTTCTTTTTCTTTTCCTGAACTTCAATTCAGTCTGTTAGAATTCAACTGCCGAAAAATTTGCCAACATTTAACAAACTGAACGATATGAAATAAGCGCGATAAAGTTTGAAGCAGCGCGAACTCAGTTTTTAAGTGAAGTTTTCGTAACCGTCGCCAGCGTTGGTGCTTAAGCTCCCTATACTGTGGCATGCGCAGTTTCTCTGCGTTTTTGATAGGTTATATGACCTCGATACCGAGATTGGTCCTCATTATGGGTGTTGTTTTTAGCCCCAATTAAATCCCGGGCCGGGACTCAGAAGGCTTATACTGGGGACAGCTGCAAGCTCAAGGAAAAAAAAAATATTAAGAAAACAGAGAAAGATACGTTCACAATAGTGCCTGTCGAAATTTCCGGATGAAATCAATCCTTGCAGCTGCCAAACTGACTTTACTGATTACAAAACTCAAATAATTAAAGTGACAACATTTTGTGCACATCGAATAGAAGCCACTCAAACACAATCAATGCAGCCGTACATTTGCAAGAGAAGTACGTACCACAACAAGGCTGAGATATTAAGGCGTACACTTCCATGAAATCAGTGCATTTAGTTCAGTCTTGAAATATAAAACATGACGCGCTAAAATGGCCACCTATCATAAGATATGGAAGCAAATTCATCATCTAAACGTAAGTAAGAAAATATGCGCTCGATCTTTAAGAATATTTTGATCAGCAATATCGAAAAGGCAATTCGAAACTGCAAACGTTGAAAGAAGGTGAACATAAAACTCACTTTTCACCTTAAAAAACGTCCTTTTATTAGTTGAAAATCAATGAATTTCGTACGAAATTCCAATTCCTTTTTTTTTTTTTTCAATTCTATTTTACGTGGTACCGATCCGAGCCACGCGAAGGTCTAGGCAATTGCAGGGAAAACGCAGTTCTTTCATTTCTCAGTTGTTTTTTGAAAGACCCTGAATATGGGTCTGGCTCCGGGGATTGAACCGGTCAGTGACCTCCCGCGAGTCGAGCGCTCCCTACCGACTGAGCTAGTCCTGCTGCAGGTTCGGTTATTTAGGTATTATGATGCTCAATCACTTTTTGTGGTTAAAAAAGGGGAAAATATGTTTTTACATTTTTAACGTACTGTCGTGCAGCGTCGTACGTATGAATTATTGTACTTCGTTGCGATACGAAAATGTATTAAAGAAAGAAACTGCTTGACACATTTGAAATACGGGTATCGACAATTAGAACTGAAATAACTTATTCCTTGAAATAACTCGGGGGCCAAGACGACTAGATTCAAAAAATGTTTCGTAGTTGTCTATGTCGCTAAATTTTTACAATAAAAAATGAAAAGGATTATGACTAAAGTAAACAGTAACTTATAAGACATACATATCTTTCCAACAACAAAAAAACAAGATGTTTCCGCAAATGAATCAAGTTGAAAAGTGGCCACATAAAAACACCCAGCGGTTTTAAAGCCATTAGCTACTCATGCGAGACATTTTTTATAAAAATGCATCCGCCGATCCCTTCATAGTTTTTATAGGCCATAATGATGAATAAAACTCAATCATTGCGAAAATTTAAAAACTACATTTGAAGTTTGCTTTTTCGTTTGCCCCAGTTCATCAAAAAGGTTTGGCAGAAATGATTTTTTATCTTGATCAACAAGCCAAGATACAGATGAAAAAACTCCCTGAAGAAAAACGCTCAATGAATCGGCCTGTGTTTCAAGGTAAAAAATGTTGCAAAGGACTTTTGTTCGCCTCAAATTTAAATTTGTAATCAGTTTCATAAAGCTAAAACACAAGTGAATTAAAGTTCTTGGAAATGCTTCAAGGTATTAATCAAGGAAGCGCCGGGATTCTAAGACTAATGTACTTTGATTCTATAAAAACCTTTTTTCTGAAATTCAACTGGCCGGGAAATTCTACGTTCAGATTATTTAATTAAAAAATAACCCTCATCCGGATTGGAAAATTTTGGGAACTAATGTTTGGTTAACAACCAAATTTACTTTCCGGAAAATACACAATAAAGTTAAATCGTAATACAGAAAATGGATGCATCAAATATAGGAATTACCAGTTTTGTTTGGCCAATGAATTTATCTTACGCAAAATAGTCAGGGCAAATCTAATGTTTTGCGGTACTTTTCCTCATAGAAAGTACACTGATTTAGCGACTGTACATTTTAAAATTTTTATTTAGCTTCTTTGTTCCTCATGTGGCTAATTTTGGGCAAGAGTCCTTTATTTCATGTTATTATTGTTATTTGATTATATATTTAGAAAATGCGTCACCAGAAAGGGTACCATCGTAACGCTGCCAGTTATGATTAATATATAGATTTAGCTAGGGCTCAAGGCGAAGCTCTCGATAATATTTATAGTTTGCTCAAACAAAATATGAAATCGTGTAATGCTAAAGGAGATGTTACACGGGACGATTTGCAACAACGATTTTTAGCGCAACACAGCATTACAGCATTGTTGTGACATTGTTTTGAATGGTTGCAAAATCGTTTCAACATTGCAACGCTGTATTGCGCTAAAAAACGTCGTTGCGATTCGTCCCGTATAACATAATCGCCTTAAGCAGCGAAGGCAACAAGAACGATGAACAAACAACAATAGGTCTGATAAGCAAAAAACGGAACGTTGCACGGCCAGCACATACGGTATGCCAGGCATAGGACACTTGTATTGATATCAGGAAACATCTTCCAAAAGTTGGTCAAAACTAGTTGCATTGGTTCTGAAAAATTTGTCGGGCTATTTGAGCCAATTATGGAAACGGAGAAACTGATTTTGAATAAATAAATAAATAAATCAAACTGGCCATAGATAGCGAAAATTTTAATCCACCTTAAACCTGGAATGAACTTCTATTGTTCTTTAAGTTTAAAATCTCTGGCACAATTTCATTCAACTGTTCAGTTAAGAATTCAACGCTTTTAATTATTCAAAAATTTCATTGTAGGAATAGGGGATAATTAAAATCCAGTGAAAATCTCCGTTATACTGACAGCATTGAATTTGAATTTTGCACTTTCCATTAATTATAGAAATCAAGATAAGCTCATTTTCTCTCATGGACTGATTTAGTATGTCTCCTTCAGAGTCGTGACGTAATTCGCAGCCTTTGATCCATGTTTCAAATGAACAAAAAATTCCTAGCTGGTGAGAACAGTCAGTACGTCACGAAAATGCTGCTTCGAGTTTGTAACAATATTGATCAGTTCAGTAATACTGGCCTCAGTGGTCTAGCGTGAACACTAGTACAAGAAGATTGTTGAAAAGTGTTTTTGGCTGTAACGATTGAGTTGAATTGGATTGTGTAATGTGTGGGCTAAAAACCAAAAACTTTGCCACGACGTTTTTACGTTCGATAGTGTTGTTTTGGGAAAAATCATACTCCAGAACCATGGAGAATGAATAAAGTTCGACGGTGTTGCTTCGGGGTAAATTGCTCCAAAAACTATTGACCAACCACTTGAGGCATCACCGAGACTTGACCTGAAAGATTTTATCTCGTAAACGAAAACTTGGGAGAATATTTGAGATAGTGTCTGTTTGATATTCTTTGATAATACTAGCTATTAGGCCGGTATTTTTTCCAGAGAGCATCCAAATCTCTTCAAAATTTGAAGCTACGTTGTTTCGATCTTGGGCTTCCGATCGCGCTGAGCAGGGGACTATCACTACGTGTTTATTGGGACTTCCGTACATATAGAAGCACATGTAAGTGTCATGTGAACGTACGTAAAGTGCACCATGAGATGGGTACTGGGTAAGCATCAATTATTTTGACCGACGCAACATTCCAATGTTTTTATGACCGGCTATTTTTGGAATTAAGTAGAAGTCCATTGGCACTGTGGATGAAATTTTAGTGAACGATATGGGAACGCAGTCTTTCACATTTCTTTTAATCATTAAAGTAGGAAAACATTACCTTTCATACTTTAAACGTGAAAGAAAATCAATATTTTCCGCCATTTATTACGTTTGCCAGTTGCCATTTTCAACGCTCGGCCATAAGGACACTATGTTTTAAAATGAACATGATCGAGTCTGAACTGAAACTTTTTTGTGTGTTGCACGGAATAAAATTATAGTTATTGAAAAAACAAAAATAAAGGGATAAAGAGCAAAATTTTTACCGGAATTTAAAAAGACCTCATGTAAAGCACCTTGAATAGCATCGTTTCAATACATTTATGTTATGTTTAATTATGTATGAAAAATGAAAAATGTATTTGATTTATGCTCATCGGCGATCTCAGTCAATTGCCCTACAAAGAAATCAGACAGCTTAATTTCTTTTCTTCTACTATCGTGCAAGTTAAATAATGTAAAAGTAATCTGCCAGGAAAATGAAAGGAAAAACCGACTGTGCATGTTCTTGTTTTATCAATATATTAAGTTCTGACAAATTTTTAGATGATTACATATTTATTCACGCGCAGTTTTCTATTTAGTGGAAGACATAATAAAGTTTGACTTTAATATTTTATACTCATCGCTTCCGTGACTATCACTATGAATGACAGGAAACTTCCATAAAAAGACTATTTCAAATAGCGGTCCGGCTAAGTCAATCACTGTCTACTTTCCCATATTTTTGTCTTTTTTGATCCCCCGTGAAAGTTACTAATCACTCGAAGACGAAACAATCGAGCAGTTCATCACTTTTTGATCGCTGTTCTAGGCTTAGTCGTCCAGAATTTTTTGTCAACGCAATATGTTAGTTAGTTCCAATCGGCTTGACTTGAATTTTCTGTATATTCCTTAAAATTCTCGTCATAGTCTCTGACCGATAATGTTTAAAAAAAGGTACAGATCCGACAGAGTTGCGAAAATTACTTTAGAAAGATAAATTGTTTTGCTACACCGTCTATCAGCCAAACAGCGGGAAATCTAGCTAGGTTCTAGTTTTCAGATCTCTTATTATGATATTATTTCTTTTCTAAATAAAACAGCTTTTATTTGCTATTTTTAGCCCGAACTTGCGAAATTACAGGCTCAGAGGAGATAGGACAATGCGTGGTACGCGGGGGTCAAAATATTCTTATTTAAGATACTATTGGACGATTCTTTTAAGACTTAATTAATTGCAGACATATCTAAATATCATAACTGTTGCTCCGAGACTTCTGGACTCGACTGAAAAGCTTGGCAATTATGTCCTTGCTTGTACAAGTTAAACAGATTTGACAACGTTCGTGATTTGGCACGGAAATGCGAAGAGAAATGTTGAAGAAACTTAGCCAAAAAATCCTGAAGGTATGAAAACAAAAATAGAATTCAATAATCGATATATTTCGTTGCCTAACTGCATTATTCCAGGCGTTTTTAAGCTCATCTTGTGTAAATAAGGAACAATTCTACGAGAAAATCGCAAGTTAGACAAGGCTACTGTTTTGAAACGTTAATGAAAAACTTGAGGAAAAAAATTATTGATAATTTTCACTGTATAACAGCTTACTGTGGTCTTGCTCATTGATGCGAAAAATCTAACCCCAACAGAACTGACCGACCTGAAAGAGTTTTGAAAGGAAACGCATTAAATAAGGTTCAATCTTAAAATGATAAAGTTGAACTTTAAGAAATTACATAACATTTCTCTCAAGGAAACACATAGCAAAACAGGAAGGTAATAATAAGAGACAGTTGCATACTTTTTCACCTGAGTCTTTCCGCACGTACGTGGTCACAATTAGACATAACATAACCGCTCGCTTCGAAAACAGATTTTATTTTAAAAGTGTTAACAGCTAAACTGTGGACAATAGCGAACTCAGCCAAGAATTGAAGTGAGAGGGAAATAGAACTGTTGAGTCAGGCAACGGAAAGTCATTTCGTCACAAATTTGAAAATTGTGAGCATTATTTTAAGACTTTTCAAATCTGATAATGAACTAGTAAGATTTAAAATATAAGTATTGGACCTCAGACGGTGATACATAAAGGAAAAAAATGCTCCAGAGATTGTGTTGGGGTTAACTTTGTAAAAGATGCTCTTAGAAAAACTAGTGTTTCAATAAGCATTTCATTAATAACTTATTTTTAAAATCGTATAATATAATTTAACTATGTTTCCTTGAATTTTGAAAAGAAAACGTGCTCGTTAAGAGCTGGTAACCACAATGGTCACGTGTTACTATGGTAATATAGTAACATGTAATTTTGTCTTTATTTACGGTTCCAAACTTTTTTTTGTCTTTTTTTGGCTCAGGCGATGTCCGCTTTTCCTCTAAAGTGTTTCAGTAAATGACTAAGAGTCTTTCAGTAACAAGTTATGGCTCAATCTATCTATGCTTTGACCAACATTATAAATTATTGTGGTTACAAAAAGGAATCAGGGGCGTCAGTCGTGTAGGGAATCTCAATAACTTTTACCTCATAATCAGGGGCACCAAACGACGTTTTCCTGTAATATAACTGTTCGAAGGAGCAAATATTGCCTAATAATTTCTAAAGCTCGAGAAAGGCTAAAAAGGTCTGAATATCCGTCTATGATATTCGGAGGTTTTCTACTAACTTAGCCACCGACGATTTTCCGAGGTTGTGATACGTACTCAGTTTCTCACATTTTATCACCAAGATGATGCTCTTATTGTTGAAAAGGTCTACTTAAAATTTCAGCATAATTAGACAAAACGTCCCCTAAAGTTTTCAAATGAAAGTAAGGCTATTCCATGTCCTCGAACTTTCGACCGGATCCATTAAGGTAGAACAGTTTTGGATGACGCGAAGAAGCCACCTAAAACTTTCGAGACCGCTCCCTATTAAGACATCCAAACAGATAAATAATTCCTATGGACAACCACCCAAATTAATCAAACAGGCTTCTATAAGGCATTGAGAAAACCATTTGAGATGCTGGTTTTTCATTTGCAAACATTCGGTTGTAGGGTGCCTCTGTTATAATTACTAGGAAGACTTTATAATTATCATGATGAGTATTTGAAACCACAATAAAATCATCTGCTTGTTTATCACTTGCTCGTTTTCTATCAGTATCACCGTCACTAGACAATCTGAGGGTAGGGGGGGGGGGGGAAATAAACATTTTTTTGTAGTGGTCTTTTTTTATAATTATTATGAAGTCTTTAAAATTAATTAAATGAGTATTTAAAACCAACATGAAGTTTTTTGTTTTTTTTTCTGTTGCGGGTTTTATAAAGGTAGCAGGGTGAAGAGGAAATGGGGGGGTGGGGGGGGGGGGGAGAAAGGGGGAGGACGAAAGTACCTGAATAACAAAGCCGTAAAAAAAAACATAAATACCTAATAGAAACCTTTTTGCACGAGCTTGCAAAATGATAAATAAATGATAAATAATAAATAAATAAATAAATGGATGTCTCAGGTGAATCTCTAGATCTCATGCAAATTATCTATCGTAAAACTTCTAACCTCTAGCTCGTGAGGCTAATATTCACTGTAAAACTGCGGCCAGCTAAATTAAGGGCAACAAAAACATGTAACTTGCCATAATTTTGCAACAATGCGGCAAAACGAGTTAAAAAAGGGATGTTTCGCGTTTTACCACCCACGAATCAAACCTATTGCAGCAAATTAGGCTGTTGCAGGTTGCGAAAAGTTGTGGAAACTAAATATAAAGGTGAATAGCAGCACTTTTTGCAACAAAATCGTGACATATATATATATATATATTTCATATATCATTAACACTCATTTCTTTCATGGGAACATTTGAACCCACAATTGACCTGCTCCCAACGTCAGTGGCTTCATAGCTCAGTTGGTAGAGCATCGCACCCGTATCGCGAGGTCACGGGTTCAAACCCCGTTGAAGTCCTGAATTTTTTTTTTTCAGGCTTCTTTACGCAATTGCATAAATTGCGTTTACTGCGACGATCATTTCTTCATTTTCAAAATCGTGACAGCAACTAACTTCAGCTTCGCGTGATCATATCCTATCAAAAGTCGTTGTCGCTCAGCTAGAATACATTGCAACAATCAGGCTTAAACAAATCGCCTGCCAAAACGCCGGCAACTAATACGTGAACGTGATAGTTTTTTCGCAGTGTGGTATATTAGGGTGCTTTCCGCCTTACAACTCTTCTCTTCTTGCACCAAAACCGGAATGTTCCACGCAGAAAATTTTAGTATGCCTAGTTTTAACAAACCCCATGCTACACATACCTTTTCATTTTACCCTTGTCCCCCAACAATTGCCCTAGACACACCATCCCAGAAGATTAGACATCCACACGTGTCCCAAATAAACGGATTAACTTATAAACACTTAAAGTGGGAAAAGGTCCGCTTCACCATGATAAGATCAGATTGTCTTATCCTATTTAGCTTATAGACGACAACCAGAATTATTAAAAAGTTGTTTAAAATCCTTAAAAAAGGAAAAGGTTTGGTTTGGTTTCGTTTTATTTGTAAACATTAAGGCAAAGACTATAACGAAATTTTGGTGAGTCACAGCCAGAGAATGGAATTCAAAGACCTTTTTTCAACCTCAAAATATTCCATATACAGTTTTACTTCACTATGTTAAATTCTTAAACTTTTAAATTAGTTATGACATTATAGTTTCAGTTTTATTGCTCTGCTAAAACATTAGTCAAAGCCAAGACAAAGCTTTGATGACCGTAAATGCTAATAAATCTGTCAACTCCAGATTTAAATTGAAAAATCAAAAGCCGACTGCGAAGTGGAATAAAAAAAACTGCGCACTGTTATTTTCTACGCGAGGCCAAATAAAGTCTAGATGCTTAAAGACACGACACTATGTTAAGAACGTCCAAGCAAGCTTTTTTTGTACCATCAATTTTTTATAGCCGTTTCCTTTTTTTCTTACCACAAATGCCGTAACGGGTTCGTATTAAACTGGCATGTTTTGATGGTGTAAAGAAACAACGAAAATAAGAAACATTATTCAAATCCACCTTCAAAGTGCTGTTCCGACAAAAATATCCGTGACATTAGGGTAAATATATTAACAAGTGATAAGCAAAAGGGTTATATAACACGTTTTTTCAAGTCTTTGGCGTGTTAAAACAAAATAATGTTCAGGTGCACATTTGAGTCATTTTTTACCCACTCTCTTTCGTAAGGGGTGGCTAAATTCTGTTTTTAAGGTAGTCTTTCTTCAGCGTTTGTAGGTGCCAAGTAGTCAGCTGTGAATTGAAAGCAAATTTTGGTAAGTTCAATTTTATTTCAACGTTATCTTTCAATGAATTTCGGATCGCGCGTGTTAACTGACTGTCACTGTGCAACTTTTAAGTTTTATCTTAGTTTGCTTTTTGATTGGACTGCGGCCATATGTTAGCCGGCGGTCCCAACTCATCAAATGCAGCGAAAACGATTGAATGAATCGAAATTGTATAGTTAGATAAAATTTTGTGACGAAGACATCCCTAAGAGGGAAAATGAAAATGTTTATACTTTACTAGCCAACGCGAAAGGGAAAAATAATTGGACATCAAGAAATCACCCATAATGCAAATACCTGATTTAAAATACGAGAAGGCTTAATGAATAAACGGGCACTGCACGTGTAAATCAGTGTCTCCTATGAGATCAAGCAGAAGAGTAAAAGAATTCTAGGGGCAAAGAAGTGGTCTAATCTGAACATAGCCAGTCGTTCAAAATACTAATTTAATACTACGAAGGGCGCAAATTACTTTATCGTTGTAGGTGACAAGCAGCGGCTCAAAATGTTGACATGGTAACTGCCGCGTTTATTGACAGTAGACACAGTACCTTAGTTCTGTAGATGAATATGAATATTGAGCTTTTGCAGTTGCTACCTTAAGGAACAACGTACACTATATTGTTTTTTTTAGATAAGCAAAATAAATCCCAGTAAGTTCCTCACAATCCTAACAAGAAGAAATGTTCAAAAACTTTCACTTGAAAATCTTTCATACCTAAGCGGTTTGATAGAAGAAAAAGACAGTTGAACGCTGTAAGCGGCCATATCTGAAAGCGTTTAGTGAATCTTGGCGTTGTTTTAAGAGAATTAAATTAACAGCAAAATCCGTGGACGAGGATCCTGCTGGTTATCAACGTTTTAAGAGAGGTCGCTTAAGGGAGTTCGATTTACTGGTAAAAAACACGTTATAATTAAGTAAACGTAGTTTTTGAAGCTCTAGCTTTCAACTTTAGCTTGTGGATATTTTTACAACTAGTTGCCTACTGGATTTGAGTTTCAATTTCTCTCACTATTTTGTTAACATCTGATGGCGTTCGTCAACCTTTGAAGAGTACCTTTTCGTCTGATATAGTGAAACAGACGGCCGAAGCACTGTACGAAGGAATTAATACTTATACCAGTCAATCCCGCTTTGGAGGTTATTGTCCACCGACGGACCCCAGGCCGCCTTAGTAACCGAACGGTCAATGATGTTTATTCGCCATGTGTTTATCTTTTTATCACCCTGGTACACCTCCAAAAAAGCGAAGGAAACAAAAGATAAAAGCGTTGTTGCTCTTGAACTACAGTAATAGCCTCCATTCTCAAGGTTTTAATTCGCAAAATAATGTTGGATCACTGACTTGTAATTAAAAGCGTGTTTAAATACGAATTTTTAACAACTTTTTAACAAGGATTACTTTCGAATATATTTTTATTCCATAAAATTGCAGAATCCCTCCATAATGGATCCCTAAAACAGTATGAATGCATACTCTTCTAAAAAATGAATAAACAATGAATGTGATCTTGTTAGTATATGGCAGTAAAGTGCTGTACACACTTGCGTATGAAACGTTCTGCTAAAAGCTTCGGTTTTAGCAGACCATCGATCACTTACAGGGTGAAAAGGCCCACATTAAGACAATACCCACAAATAGCTTACATTTGGAATCGGCTCTATGCGACGAATCAGTTGGACTAAAGCCCAGATTTCTTTTCTGTAATTATTCATAAACTGTCTGGAAAACACCTGCCGGCCTGAACGGAATGAATTTTTGTCCCTTTTTTTTCCTGAAAACGTAATTATTTTGTTAAATTGCGTCGCACTTGCAAAATAATCCCCCGTTCTAAGAATCGCGTCTTTGAAAGCACTGAGGCACTGACAGCCTTTACAATACATTAACTCTGAGTTCACGCCTGCATATTCGCCAGCAGCAAACAGAGAAGTTATCATGGAGACCTATCGAGAATTCAAAAACGAGGTAAAGCGAAAGTTTTTTCACTTTGATACTTTACCTATTAAGTCATTTTAAGTTCGGATATTACCACGGAATATCGCTGAAGACCAACACTAACAGTGATTGAAAGTTGGTGAACCGAGGAACAATATTACATCGGCTCCCGAAAGAGAGTAATATTTCTTTTTCCTGACTAGCATTTTAATATTATTCTTAATGGCAAAGCGTAAAAATTTTGCTATGTTTTAGCAGCCATTGTAAAGACTAATTCTAGCCTGAGCAGGGTTGGAAGTTGAGTCACTACCGAATAACTTTCCTGTAAAGCTTAGTATTGCTTTCCGCAAAACCCTGACTGATTTTAAAAGTGCGGAACCTAAATAGTAAATTATTCATTCGAACTCCAAGAATTGGGGACTCTATGCTGGAATCTAGCTAGTCATCCAAACTCTTCTTGCTAAAACTGGTTTTATTGTGTAATAACAGATGCTGAATACCATTTTCAGCATTTTACGATATTCTGACTACAGACGCCATTAACCTGACGCTTCAGCGTCGAGTTTGAACTATTGCTTTATCGTACAACTGTATACAGATGAATCTATTGGCTTTCACTTTTCATGTTTTCAAAATAATCTTCTTTGATGGTTCCCGAAAGTGGGGGGATAATATCAATAATTTTTAATATGAGAAGACAGAAGAGAAAATTGAACGCATTTAAAATTTGGTGAAATTATATATTACTGAATAAACACTGACTTCAACATGACAGAATTAAACTCATAACATACGCCGTTCCTCTCATAGCACGATACACAAGCAGCGATCAATTTGCTTCGTAGCCTATATCTCTTTATCTCAAAGATACCCTAACTCTGTTAATTTTTTTTAAATGACTCTTCTCATACTATTCTCTATGTTGGAGATTTCGCTAACGATCAAAAGTAAATTAATGGTTTTACGGATTCCAAATAAATATTTTATTACACAACTCGAAGGCAATGATACTGTATACTAGTTTAGTATTCTTTTTGTCACTGTCTTTTCTTGGGATTGCAGATCAGTTGCGAGAGATAAAAATGATGCTATACAAAGCTTTTGATCAAAAGGTTTTTACGGCTGTCAAACTTTACAATACTCATTGGTAATATTACGTTAGAGGCCGAAAGCCCTCAGTGATAGCGTTTGATTTTCGTCGACTCCAATCTTTCTTTTACGTATTTTTTGCCTTTATTTCAAGTTATATTTTAATTAGTCTCAGTGCAATAAGCGTGCTAACTACATTTTTGGGTCTATCTAGATTTCTCAAGAGCGCAACCTAAGAAAATCCGAAAACGAATTGTTCAGTAACTGAATAAATTTGCTGTCAGCTGCAGGGGGTCATGTATAATTCATGTAATCGTCCTGCTCATCTCTGTTCAAACACCTTTTTCCTCTGACGTTTAATCTAAATAGCTCCTTAATTGTTGCAAAGCTGTTGCGCCAAAGTAAAAATTTCTTTTAATTTGTTTTGGAGGGGTCACTGTCTTAGAACAAATTGACTAGACTAGTCACTCGATACTGAGAATTCTTCCAAATTGCTATCTTTGGATGTTGAAAAAAGAAAATTGATTTTTCTGTTGAATTTTTTATTTGTCCATTTATGAGGACTGTAAGGGTAAATGAATATGTATTAATGGCATTTTCTTTCTAAATAAACAATAAAAAAAGCAATGCTTGCTATACAATTGATTTATTTCAATTTTTTTTTTCCGTGGAAGAAAATATAATCTCATAGCTGCCCTGTCAAATTCGCTTTTTTACTGTTTGCTTACAAAAAAAACATTGCTCAGATCCATCAGGATCTGCCGGTTGGCCCTTGCTATTTATTAAGTACAATAATATTTGTAGTCTCCTTCGCAGCTGCTCGGGCTGCAGTCACGCAATACTCCCCACCCCCATTGCGTGACTCCGGCCCGAGCGGCTGCGAAGAAGACTATTTATTGAAGATATTTTCTTTATGTTTATAGCCGATGGGAGGGTGCTCATCGGCTGTAGCCCCGGAAGACCCAAACGGCGGACAGCAAACTGTTAAAAACAACTGGTGTGCCTGTTGTGGATCAAGGTAAGCAATGCGTACATAAAAAGAAAAATAATAATAAAAATTTTTTATTGAGGGTAGAACTTAATATCTCCTGATAATCTACACGCGGCCCTCAGAAAAAAAATGAATAAAAAACACAAAAATCAATCAAAAAACTATGATTCATGGGTGAGAATTTGAAGATAAACGGCTAACTAAGGAATTGCTAACGATGTCCATTACAATTTACAAACTTCATTTCGCCTAAGTTTGTTTTCGAAAGAGCACGTCAAGGTAGAGCAGTCTTTCAACTCCTCAGGAAGTCTGTTCCACAAGCTTGCAGCACTGAACATAAAAAGCAAGCAACAAAACAAATTTAAAGAAGAATAAAGAAATAGATACTTTGAAGTCGGGTCGCGGGAGTCGGGTAGAGCCGTGTTATGTGACAGAGATAGAGACTTGATGATTAAAAAGCGAAAAAGTAGTTCAATATTTAATCATTTTCGCTAAATAATCTGATCAGAATGCTGGTTTGCATTTGTCACTTGCAGGCAGGACTCTACAGCCGCCTTGTTGGCCCAAAAAGAAAAGGATCTTGACTGTGAAAGGTAACCCTAAAAAAGAAAAATATTTTATATTTTTATATTTTTGGCTAAATAAACTGTTCAGAATGGTTGGTTGTATTTTCTTCTTTCAGGGAGGGTCCTTAAAGCGCCTGTTTGGACCAAAAAAAAAAAGGATTTTTCTTGGGAAAGTAACCCCCCCCCCCCCCCCCCCTTCAATATTCAAAATACCGTTTTTTTCTCTCTTCAATTATTGACATGTATTCAGTCGAAACATAAGTTAAGGGGGTAGTTTTGTTGAAAGCATTGTTTTTTGTTCAGTCGTCCTTTTCTTAGATATTTAAAGATTTCATTTAATAAAAAATCGACTCCATTAAAGGTACCTTGACCTACTTGTTGTTTTGTTTCCTCACGTCTGATTGGGTCTTCCGTTGCAACGCAATAACATTGCAGAAATATTTTTGGTGTTAATGGCTTTGTGAAGTTTTACGGCCATCCTGGTATCGAATTTGTTTCAATTTATGATAGTTATTATGCAAATGTGAGCCCGCAGACGTATTCTTGGTGGGGTGGTCAGCGGCACTGTACAAACTGTGTAACAAGGTTTTTCCAAAATCAGTCCACATGCTTGGGATGCCTTTGTTCTGCGTATTAATATGAAAAGTATGTGGCCGTGAAGGCCCTGGTGTTGAGTTTAAGGTCCACCTGATGTCACTGCAGAGACGATGGTCACGATAATCACTTGAATGCAAATGCAAGTGATGCAACAATAGCCTGCAATATTTGTTCGATTCCAAACACTCGTAATTCAGGTAAACACGTACTTAAATGCGAGACTTTTTGATTCGCCTTGCCCGTTGGAAATCTATTTACCTAGGGAAATGAAAGTAGATCCTGATCTCAGCTTAGTGCGGGACGAGTCTTCGGTAAGATACGAGTGACTGAAAAGTCTATAAATCCTTGTACATAAAGTAAATTTAGGTTACACTACAGTGCATGGGGATCTGCATGGTCTTTCATATTTTATGCGTTTCCACGCATGTTTCGTCGCTTGTCATCTGAAAGCTTCAATAATATTTAAGCTAAGCTTTTTCATTATTTTCTATTGCATCTCAACGACCCTCGGTCATTGAACACGGATTGAATAACCGATTGATTAATAGACTTCGTGCAGTCATGACTGTATACATTTCAATGAACGTTGTTTTGTCATGTAATACTGTTTCCTTTGTATCTTTGCTAGCGAATTCAGCCGTCTCTTCTCGCTCCTTACCGTTCGTAGGCTATTAAACTGTATCTAAGCAACCGTCAATAAGAGCGTTAAATTCAATATAAGTCTTGTTTACTGTGTTGTTAAATTCAAGTTCTCGCAATCATGATCCACTGTGATTCCTTTTGTTGACACTGGAACTAACAGCAGTGAGGGCTTTCTCTGATTCACGTTATGAAAGCGGTTCTCAACATGAATCACATCTCTGAGGTAAACGCACATGTTCGCCCGCACTTTCTAACCATCGGTTCCTGCTAGTTCCACATATTCTACTACACGTAACCCTGTATTGCAATGGAAAATTGTATAACATGAATGAATGAATGGATGAGAAAAGCTCTTATTGTTATTTCGTTGATTATACATTTATAAATTGATTCGTTTCCCACGTATTGAGCTTTTGAAACGGCATAAGTTACTGTGCCTTTCGTTACGCTGCCCGAATTCTCGAAATAATGCCCCGAGTTAACGTTGAAAGAGTCCCGGGGTGTTTTCGGGTGAAGTTCGAGCAGCCTAGCGCTAACGCTGTTTGTTTACTCTTTTATCGCCAGACCAACCGCAGGAGAAGCTAAGAAGTGGCAAACGTCCTTTGAATCTGTGCTTAGGCATAAGTTTGGCATTCAACTATTTCAGGAATTTCTTCGTTCCCAGTACGGCGAGGAAAACCTCAACTTTTGGCTAGCGGTTGAAGAATACAAGAAACTCGACGAAAGCAGCAGGGCGGAAAGAGCAAGAATGATTTATGAAGATTATGTTTCCACTCTATCACCAACGGAGGTTAGACACTGACTTCCACCACTTTTTCTATTTTACCTTTCAAGGAGACTTTGTCACGCGAATTTCATTTTTCATTTGCTTTGTTTTGCCAATAGGCCCGTTGCAAAACCTTGTCTCGTTCTTAGATACCACTTTTCAACGGCTCGCCAGTTGGAAACCCGAAGCGTTCATTCAGATCACAAAGCTTTGCATGTGATCGAGCGAAGCCTTTCTACGTTAATTCAACGTTTTTAAGTCTTCTATTCCCAGTTACTTCGCGTTAATATTCAACAGAATGATTAAATTAATTAACTAGGAGTGCTTCGCTCGATCGCATAGTATAGATAGGATAGTTTGCGATCCAGCGAGCCGTTGCTAAGTGGTATTCAAGCACGTGACCAAGTTCTGCAAAGGTTCTCATGATTGGCCAGTGTTATGTCAAAACAACAGTCTCATAGCAAGAACCAGTATGCCTACCGAATGATTACATTTCCAAGTTACAAACATCTTTGAATTTTGTGCAGTATTCAAATGCTCCAAAATTGGTTTATCCTATTATCTTCATTTTTTACCCAAGTGGTGGCCATTTTATAATTTAAACTAAATGTGGCTAATTTACGTGAGAAAGCTTCTGTAAAGGATAAAAATAGTTGCCTAGCAGCAGCATAACGAAGCTATCTCGTGGTTTGGTAGAAAAATTAGCGCCCTTTCCTCGTCCAATCCAACTCCCGTGCTTCGCAATGTAGCCTGCGAAAACATCCGTTTGTCCTCGCTCTTCGCCGCTGGGGACGTTTCACGCGGAGGAACGTGGACGTTTCTCCGCGCGAAACGTCCCCAGCGGCGAAGAACGAGGACAAACGGATATTTTCGCAGGCTATTCGCAATGTTTTAAATGCATTTTAATGGTCACCCTTAAACCCCTATGGATCGTTTTCACTCACTGCACGTCATCAGTAGCTATGCAAATTTTTTGAAACAACAGAAAGTTTTTACATGAGAAAATCCCGTACAGTAATTTTTTGGTACATCAATATGGCCACCGTGACGTCATGTGAAAACAATTTTTAACTCCGCCCGGCTCCTGATTGTCCTTAGCCTGTCGTTATTCTTTGCCATTTAATTGGGATTTTTGTTAAAGAAACTATGTTATAAACTTTGTTCGAAGCAGATGAAGCAAAATGTAAGAAAGGAATATGTCAGTGGATTTCATCGAAGGTCCTTTTTCAGCTTGTGCAAAGCAAGCTTATGGGAAATTGGCCCTACTTGTGTCATTGCACTTTCTTTTCTTCTAGTCGCCCTATTTTTTTTTTTATCTAAATAGCCCCTACAACCCTAATTATTCCTACATTACCTAGGCTAGTTGCATGGCAAAGTTGTACCGACATAAGTGAATGGGCAGATTTAATGCTGACCAATTATCTCTTTTCGTAGATAAGCCTGGACGCCAAAGTTCGAGCAGAGATCGACAACAACATGAACAATCCCACTGTCGACACTTTCAAAGTGGCACAGGATCATATATTCACCCTCATGTACCACGACTGTTTTCCTAGATTCATCAAATCTAAACATTACAAACAACTTCTGAAGAGACACTGACCAAGAATCAATGCAACTCTCACCACGTCATCACCTACTTCTCTAGTTTCTTTTCATATACAATCCAGCGTTCCGTTTTACACTCCAGATGCATGCAGTCATGAAACCCATGCTGGTAGCCATACTTTTATCTTTCAACTCAAGTCACTGCGCTGTTATCGATAACACGTTGACAACACTCTACGCGGTTCATCGTTTTTCAATGCGCAATTTATCATGGATCAAGACAGTCTCAGCAAGGTTTATCGGTCCAAGTAAAGTCACGAAAAGTCATATGAATTGGGAGTTTTGGACTACGATGACTTGATGTGCTCCATATGCAAGCATGTAAAGGCTTCGGTCAATTTTTTAATTCAACCAAAAAATTGTAGGAGCATCCGTGTCGAAAATTGGATTTTTACGGAACTCACCCAAGAGATGTATTGCAACCTCCTTAACTTCTTACGTTTTGTGGAAAGGAGGCGCCTTTTTGTGAAAGCTGCCAGATCCTAATTTTGTTTATTGTTAATTTTTGGTAGAGAATTTAAGCGGGTAGGATGTGAGAATCGGGGAAAATATCATTTTAAGTGAATGCTACGTTATTCGTCATCCCAAACTGCCTCTGCCATCAATCCCGGTCCATTCTGCCAAATTAAATCCCAGCCTCGTCCCCACGCCAGTTTACGTTATCCGAGTGAGCAGAGGAGGCTTGGAACCAAAGCGGGAACTTTCCCGACTTGACAGGTGACGTCCTCTCTCGACATTCAATCCGGTTGTGACTAGAATGGATACCTCAAAATCAGATAGGACACCTTGTGTTTATTACGCAACGCTATACTCTATTTAGGCGAATTTATTGGCCACGAGAACTTTTAGAAAAGTGGGGAAATCAGAGTAAGAGACAGTTGTGCAGGGAAAAGAGTTCAATACAGGGTTTAGCACCGAAGTACAGTGATTAGGGTTAAGCACAGTTTTAAAAACGGTTAGCTTTCAATAATGTAATGATCAACGCCATGTAAAGTACGTTAAAATTAACCAGTCACGGCAGTTAACCCTTGATGGTGTAGTGGATACGGATATGGATTATACATCAAATGACACGGGTTTAAGTTCTACATACTACCTATTGTTTTCTTCTGTTTTCTTTCTTCTCTTATTTACTACTTTAAGATGTAAGAATCCTATCATGTATTTTGAGTGAAGACGACAATCTGACTTTGAGGTATCCATTCTAGTCACATCCCATCCAAAATAGCCTAGGAGGCTGCCAAATTCCAATATTTTGAGATGAAATTTTTCTCGGCTCATTCATGATCCAAACCGAATGTGCACAATCGATAGAGATTGAAACTGAAAATAAATATGTTTGTCGTTTATACATAATTGTGTAACATAAATTTTACTGACGAAACGTGACTTATTTAAAGGCAAATTAAAAAAGGGTAACTCGGAAAAATAAAAAGTTTAATTGTTAAGTAAATCACATTCAATTCGCCAACGGTTAGCTAGCGGGCTCAAAAACGCTTGTCGTTGGCAAAAATCGTGCTTAATTTGTACAGAACGATCAGCAAAAATTGGTTGGCAAGCCCAACAAGCAATAAATGTGTCATTTATTTATGAAGATAAACTAATCGAATCTATTAATTAAAGTTAAATACTCAGTCGAAGATAATACAAATTACTCACTTGTACATAACAGAACAGCTGTCGTTATGAAAAAATTGGCTTATTTGAAGCTAGAATCTACGAAATATTCAGCGTACTAAAAATAATACTATAATTAGTTCTGAGTTTTATCACTGATTTATTGTTCAGCTTCAAGTTTCATTTTTTCAGTCTTTAATGTTTGAAAACCTGTCTCCAAGTATAATTTTAGAATCACAATTACGTTTGTAAGTAAATTTGTAAATATTAACCAGCTGAAAATTTCATAATAGACATTAATATCTTGTAAAAGTGTAGATATAAAATACTGAAGGCAGTATTTAACATTTAAGAATTGGAAAGTCTTGGGACTGTTTCCTAGGGGGTTATATGGATTAAAGATCTAGTGAAACAAATCTGGTTGTGAAACGTTTTCTTTTCTTTTCTTCTTTTCTTTTTGTTCGATTTTTTCTACACCACGTTCTGTTTTACACACAAGATCACAGAAATTTAAATTATGTATCCGAAATTTAGACCCGTGAATAATTTTGCAAAACCAATTTTTTCGTCTTCAAAACACTCTCATTTGCCTTTAAAAATGTTCGCCCTATTGCGCGGCCAAATTGACAAGTTTGACACATAATGATTTGCAAGAAGATGATGGCAAATACGAAGGATTGTCGTTGTCGAAAACTCCCCAGTCATCTTGAGAATCTTCATTTACTTCGTTATACCTTCGTTACACTCTGTTACATCGCTTAATTCCTCAAAACACAAAGCAAAGCAATTTTTA